CCTTCCTTGCCTCCTCAACCTTCCTTGCCTCCTCAACCTTCCTTGCTTCCTCAACCTTCCTTGCCTCCTCAACCTTCCTTGCTTCCTCAGCCTTTCTAGCCTCCTCAGCCTTTCTAGCCTCCTCAGCCTTTCTAGCCTCCTCAGCCCTTCTAGCCTCCTCAGCCTTTCTAGCCACCTCAGCCTTCCTTGCCTCCTCAGCCTTTCTATTCTCCTCAGCCTTCCTTGCCTCCTCAGCCTTCCTTGCCTCCTCAGCCTTCCTAGCCGCTTCAGCCTTCCTAGCCGCCTCTGCCTTCCTAGCCGCTTCAGCCTTTCTAGCCACCTCAGCCTTTCTAGCCACCTCAGCCTTCCTTGCCTCCTCAGCCTTCCTAGCCGCTTCAGCCTTCCTAGCCGCCTCTGCCTTCCTAGCCGCTTCAGCATTCCTAGCCTCCTCAGCCTTCCTTTCTTCCTCATCCCTTCTAGCGGCCTCTACCTTCCTAGCTTCTTCAGCTCTCCTAGTGGCCTCTGCCCTCCTAGCATCTTCAGTCTTTTTTGCTTCCTCTACGGTTCTTGCTTCTTCCATCCTCCTTGCTTCTTCCATCCTTCTTGCTTCCTCTATTCTTATTTCTTCTTCATTTTGCCTCCTGTCTGTTGCACGACTGTCAGGCTCAGCACTTAAGTCAAAATCTGATGGATTCAGCGCCTTGTGTTCTGCTAGATGCTTCCCAGCCTTAGTCCTCTTACTATTCTTACCCTCTTTAGCTAAACCGATTATATCTTTCTGCCCAATCAATTCTTCCAAAGGTTCTATGTTAAGGTTTTGATAAAAATCAATGTCATTTGTTGTGAGAGATGTGAATGAAAAATGGTTCTCTTTGTTGATGAGGCAAGTTGGTTTTCGAAGTATATAGTAGCATTCTCCAGTCACCGTAAACATATTATCTCTATTAACTGGCTCTTTTGCAATCCAAACCCCCCAGTATTTACTCATCTCACTTTTATATAAATCCTTTGGAGAGGTAATAAACAAATATTCTAAACAGGCCTCGAAATTTAGAATACTAATGAAATTCTCCTTTCTGACGAGACTTCTGCATTTTCCTGTCCTTTCATCGTAGATCCCAAAACTTTTGGAATTGAGAGGAAATCTAGGTGGGCATTTCTCTTCATAATCAGGCCTAATGAATGATGTAACATATGTCCAATCCTTCGAATCTGAGGTTTTTCTAATCTTCTGGCAGTTGGGTCTACTTAAGTCACTTTTCTCCTTTCTGCAATTACTGGTCCTTTCCTGTTCATGCGTACCAAGTATGACACATTCACCCGTTGTGTGATTATAATAAGCTGGTAAATTTCGGAAGCATGTATTTGTGTACATGCTTTCCATACAAGGTCCTAAACAATAGGAATATATAGAGCAATCGAACAAGTTCTTTATTAATCCTGGGTTTTTCATTGGTAGCGTTATGTTATTCCTACGCGTTTCACCTCTTTGTGCCCCTTTTCCATAATTTAAAACACTCGAACCTAGTCGACCACCCAATCCATAAAGGCCATAATACTTAAACGAATGGCTTCTGCGATCCCATTCCTTCATGGAGAACGGAGAGGAAAACACGGTAGACTTGCACATATCATAATTGTAATCATCCATTTTTTCAAAGAACTTTTCTTCCCGCCTATTTATTGGACACGATGTTGGAAAACCATGATGCATAGCTATTCCACTTTTATTGTATGGAAGTTCGACACTATTTCTGCCATTTCTGCCCATATACCCAGTATGTATTTCATTTAAAAATTGGAAGTTAAAATGGATATCTTTATTTTCAAGTGTTTCGACAATGATAGCCTTGCCATAGTTAGGGCAACTTCCTTGTGCCCTTCCTGGAATTGAATGATTTGGACAAACGTCATTATAATCATCAATTAATAATGACTGAGCGATACCAGCAGTTTTATTCAATAAAACATCATACTTGAAATTACCTTCTCCGAAATTTCCTTCCTTTTTCCAATCGATAAAAATGTGATTTCTTGGAATATCGAATCTTTCCATAAATCTAGCTTGAGGATTTCTCGAAAATTCGGAATTGATATTTGCTTCATTCTCAGAACCTGACCCGTTATTTATTGTCGGGGAAGTTATATGCGAAAATTGGTGTCTTCCCCTGCCACGGACACCGGGATTGTGCAAATAACTTCTGGAAGACTGATTCAGTTCAAGCATTTGACTTATAGGTTCACCCTTGCTTCTAAAAATAGAATGGTCCTTATTTGGATGTTCTGACTCGTGACTCTTTTGCATGGAAAACATATAGTTAAGATTCTTCATGCTTAATCCTGTGTGTTCATTTATTTTTGTTTTCCTCTTCTTTTCCAAAATTTGATATCCTCCTGACTGTTCGGCTCCTTCATCTTCGTTCCGCGCCTTCTTCCTACTCTTATCCATTTCGCTTAAATCCGTTTTTTCTTCGCTTCCTTCCGATATGCTTTTTCCAATTCTACCTGCTTCATCGTCCTGTTCATGCATCTCTTCGACCTGCGGATACGTTACATTTTGCTTCAAATCAAAAGAATTCGCCGTCAGGTTGGTAAAGGAATAGTGGTTTTCCTTTTTCAAGACACAATTTGGTTTCTTCTTCAAAATGGAACACATTCCAATGTCATTCATGGAATTTAATTTTTTGGAACTACCTTCCAAAACCCAAACCCCCCATAAGAAGTTATCTCCGCGAATTTCGCTGTTCCTCTCAGGATGATTGAATAGTCCTTCAATACAACTTTTGAAAGTTGTTTTATAACTCTCACGATCATTTTTTACAGCAGATTTGCATTCACCAGTGCTATGATTGTAGTAGCCAAATACTGTATCATTTAATGGAAATCTTGGAGGGCATTTTGTCTCATAATCCGGACGCAGAAATGACGATGCGTAGGTCCATTCTTTCCCCCTTTCCATTTTTATGGGCACAAAACATCTCTCAAAACTATCCGAATCCTGAGACAGGCAATTTGTTGTTCTACTTCCTTCATGTGTTCCTAGGATAACACACTCCATTGTCCTGTGGTTAAAGACGACAGGTAAACTGCGAAAACATTCGTTATCAAAATCTTTGTCAAAACATGGACCCATACAATGGGAATAAATAGAACAGTCCGACAAATCTTTTATTAAACCTGAGAAGCTCATTTCTTTAGTCACATGACTTTCCAACGGATTATAATCATGTAGAGGGTAATTCATATTGGAACCGAATCGACCTCCTAATCCGTGCCATCCAAAGTGTAAATATTTATTCCTTAAGGTACGTTTTTTACTTTCTATGGCGTATTCCATATGACTGTAAATTCTTCTAAAACACATATCATATTCTTGTTCCTTTTTTATCAGAAAAGTTTGATTTTCGTCCAAAGGACAACGCTTAAAGAGACCTTGGTACATTGCCATCCCACTTCTCTCCACTGGAATTTCTATTGAAAGATTCAATTTCCTGTTCAACAAACCGAAACTAATTTCGTTTAAAAAATCTTCATTATATTCATCTCCGTTTAAATCCATTAGGAATGTTTTCCCATAATCGGGACAGCTACCCCTGTACATTCCTTGTGCTTGATGGTGTGGGCAGATTCCTGTCATATTCTTTGTGCTAAGCTTAGATTCTGCATTCTCTTCATCATGTAAAAGGAGGGAGGAAAAAGAGTTATTTACCACAGACATCAGCAAAACGAACATTGCGCATGGAAAACGGTGAGGACTTCACAATGTTATAGAAATATGTTGAGGCATATATTCTAACGTGAGTCGTAGCACAAAATTGGCATGTATAAGGAGATTAGCAGACACAGGCTCATATTGTTTATGAGCAAAGAATCAGCCTTCTCCATTTCTTCTGCTTACCTATATCATATTTATAGTCCCCTTTTCCAAACGCACCATTCGTAGACCACCTTATGTTTATGTGATTCCTGGCTATGTCAAATCTGTCCATAAACTCCTTCTGAGGATTCTCTATAAGCTCCGCTTTACAAATAGAGGAGAATGCCACAAGGGCTAAAAAGCCGTACAGTGTCATCTTAGCGACTCTTTAAACGGTGTAAAAAAATATATATCTGTACATCTACTATGCAAAAAAAATAATCATAATATAATCTTGCATTAGAGAACCGGGCCAAATATATTGAATGTTAAATGAGCACCAGTCACAATCATTAAGAAAAATTTAAAGAGCGTCAAGGACCTCTACACAAATTAATCTATCTCCTCTTTCCTTTTCTCTTAAAGACAGTTCAAATAAACGCATTTAAAAATTTGATGAACAGATCCATTTGGAAGAAAAAATAAAAGTAAAATAAAAATAGCTAGCTGTACACTAGTATCGAACGGAAAAAAAAATTCGTTAAAAAAAAATTCAGGAAAATTCTGAATGCCTAGGAGAATTCTTTACAACGTAAAATTTCGAGGCAAGAAAAATTCACTTAGCTATCCACACGAATATGCAGGCAAATTTACGTACGTATTGTGTATATATACACATGGGGGTACACCTGTGGCGTGCAAAAAATAACAACATACCGTTCTACATGGGACGCTGAGGCATCTTAATGTTCTTTTAAAAAATTAGGCACTGGGACAAACAAGCAACACACATTCGCGGGAGTCGTCAGTACAGAAAAAAGTCAAGCAAACGCACGAAAGGGATTAAAAGGTGAAAACAGTTTTGAAGCAAGAAAGAAAAAAATAAAATACCAGAATGACAAAATAGTGAAATAAAAAGTTAACCAATAAGATGTAGACACTCACACAGATCGTACATTTACGAGCCGCTGCTTAATGTTGCTTTCAAATTTTTTACAAAATAAAATATACCTCAAACACAATTAAAATAAACCTTTAGCCTAATTGTTGCGCACGAAACAGCTACACAAACTGCTTTCATTTTGAGTTTATTTCTTTTTAGAAGAAAGTTTAATGAGCAGCAAAATGAAGATAATAACCTTTCCTGTAGTAGTACATGCAAATTTTTTCTTTATATGTCTCAACCTTGGCGCATGTTGCACCACACGCGTATCAGTTGTAAAGTTCTGATTTCTGCAAAAAACAGCTCAGGCATTATTCATATAAAAAACAGAAAAAAAAAATAGACTTGATTATAAAAAAAAAAAAGACCCAAGCGGCATCATTTTATTCTTATATTTTCTATTCTACCTTGTGACGCCAATCTGTAAAAATCTTGTAACAGCCCGATACATAACTGTGTGCATCATGTATTCGGGAACATGTGCATATACACACAAGAAATGTGAACAAGTAGGCTATTACTCTTTCTTACATCAATTCTATAAAATGCCATTTGCACTTACAACGGATTCCGTGCAGTATCTGTGGGAAACCCCTAACACTAAATGCGCATGCAGAGCCTTTTCACATTCATAAGCCTTCTAAGATGCATGCAAAAAGGCACCTGCTTCTTTTCCTTTCACGAGGTGACTCGAAGGATTGACGAGCACAGCTCTTTCCTAAAAAAAACAAAATAAAGAATAAAATGTTGTACTTATATTTGCAGTGATAATTAAACTTTATGCAAATAACGGGTGTTATATATTACTCCGTGCGAACACTCGCACGCGACAACACGCCTGCATTACCCCAACATCGTCTTGATTTTTCTCCACTTGTCATCGGTAGCATCATTTACTGCGCACATCTGCTGCAAAACCTTAACTGTTTTATTTTTGTCTAAATATTCTAGGGGCACAATTTCAACCCCCACAATTTCAGCATTGTTGCTGTTGCTGTTGTCATTACTTTTTTTATATATAAATATGCCATCTGATATAAAAAACTGCTTCTTTTCCTTCTCGTCAAATTCGACAGTAATTATTCCATTTCTTAATAATGTAACTAGGGGGCTGTGGTTATTTGTTATGGTGAAATATCCTTCAATTCCTGAAAAAAAAATAAAAATAATAAAATAGGTAAACCCACTAGGAGTACTTACTTTGATTCGCCTTATTTAAAAATTTTGTTTCCTATTTCGAGAACCTGGGAAAGAAGCCCTTCTGATTACTTGATTTCTGAATATGGATTCGCTAGACGAAGATATGCTCAGGTACAAGTTGCTGCTTTTTGCTGTGCTGAAAAAAATTCTCCGTGTTCTGTTCAACATTTTCATTTACTTAAGCGATCAAGTAGGTGAAAATTTCGCGTTTTGCCTTAATCTGGTTTGTCCTGCCTTATTCGTTATTTCTCGCTAATACCTGTTTTTTTTTTCTTCTTTTTTTTGTACCACTTTTCTTTTTGCTAATCTTTGGTCTCTCACCCTATATTTTATTTTAACTGCATTTTACATAAATATCATTTATCTTACATAGTACCCCGGGAAACAGGGCTGATTCTGGATGTGCGAAAAACGGTATAGAATCAGCCTGCTATTTATTTTCTCCTTTGGTGAAAATATTTGTAATCATAAAAAGTGGGTTATATCTCCCTTTTTCAGGGGAATAAAAGTAGCGCTACTTTTACTATGCTAAATGGTTCCGTTTATGTACACAAAAATTCTTCCTTCTTCCATGGCTGCATATTTTTTCGAGTACACTCTGTAATGAACGAAAAATACTTGCCCTGTTGTTTCTTGATTTGGTTACTGCCTCGTTGACATTTTAAATATTTCAAAAGGTTCGTCCAAACATAATAAAAAAGAATTTTCTTGGAAACGAAAAATAAAATCCTCTCGAAAAGATACTGTCGACGTTATCTCGCCTTCTGAACACATCAAAATGTCGCTTTTTTTTTCTTTCTTTTCCTTGTTGGTTTCTTTTTGGATGCATCATCTCTTACAAAATTGCCATTTAAATTACACAATGCTGAGCACGCAGAGATGTAAAATTATAAATAAATGCGAAGAAAAATTGCCCTGTTAATATAATCCCACAAAACACAAGCGCGTATATGTGTATGTATGTAACAAATACAGACTCCGCTTTTTTTTTTTTCATGGCGCAAAAAATGAGGTGTATCATCCAAGTAGTGTTATGTGAGTCACGGTCGCAACTAACTATATATAAAAACGAACCTTTCAAATTCTATGACTCCTTAAAAATTAAATTTAAAAAATGTAAACGAGCACTAGGATGATAACAAAATTGATTTCCGAAGGATAAATGTACCTGCAATAGGGGGTATACATTTATACATTTACCAGCATTTAATTTTCACCTCCTCTCACGCAACCGCAAAATAAAAATTGCAAAGAAAAAAAAAAAGGGGGTACATTCAGTTACTACATCTTCTATTTTTTGAAATTTTGGCACTTTTTCGCTTCCATCAAAATATACATAGATATATTTACATAAATATATATGTATACGCACGCGTAGAATTACACACGCGCCTCCACCTTCCCTTTCTCCTTTTTTCTACTGAATCCTGATGTGCCTGTTTCAAAGCCCCTTTACCCCCTCTGTCACACATTTTCATGCAATGAGAGGAACATCGCAACATTACAGACTTCTGACGCGTGTAAAAATTGCTACTTAAGAGTAAATTTACCTACAGTGCTTCTTATTTTTTCCTAATTGTGTAACACAAACTACAAAAAATCGGCCATCGCATAGATCTAAGCAAATAGGTTTAACACGCAGAGGGTTAAAAAAAAAAAGAAACAACTGCTCCCCCAAAAAAACACACCCAAAATATAACCCTCTGTGATGTATGATGATATAAAGAAAAAAAAAAGTGAAAACCGGAAAAAAAAAAAAAAAGGCGATAAGGAAAAAAATAGCCCCTTCAATGAAAATGAAAGCGAAAACGCTAAGAACGGTGTAAGAGGAAACGGGGGAAATGTAACCAACATTATGGAATACGAAAGCCCAAAAGTAAATGCAAAGTATGAGGAGTACACAAACCAAGAGAGGTGTGCCTCGCCTAACGCTACCCCCAAACGTGACATGCGCGAGGGTATAAATGATGATCAAAACATGTATCACATCTTCGAAGAGTTAATATTTAATGAAGACATGAAAAAAAAAGTACGTCATTACACATGGTTTTATTACTTCGAAAATCTTGTTCTAAAATTGGACAACTTCGTAACCGAAATATTGAACTACTCCTACTACATTCTTAACAGCATGGCTACCCCCTCATACAGTAGTGGAATAAATAACAAGCGTAACATACTTCTTGTGCAGTCAACTGTCACAGTAAAACTGGTAAATATGAGGAATAGGAAAAAAAAATTCACCTCTAGTTTTAACCATAATGCATTTAAGCGCATAGAACAAATAGTTATGCACAAAGAAGAAATAAACACAAACAGCAAAATAGATAAAAACGAACTGAAAATTCTAAACTATTTAAAAAATCAAAACATAAAGAGTATGATTTATATTAACGACATCTTTGAGCCACAATTTTTTTCTATTCTCTTTTTAGTCCACACAAGAGAGGAAAAAGAAATTTCCAATTCTATGAGCGAACAAAATGAGATAACAGAACATTGGCCCAATGAAAATGTCCAAAAATTAGATTGTAATGAGTATGGGATACTGAGAGGGTATGATATTATCCTCCTAAGGTATTCATACGAGATTATTTATTTTTACAAAGATGGTGAAGCGACGTCAATCTACACTAATCATATATACAATCAGGCCCACAAACATGGAAAAATTACAAAAAAGAATCCTCAGAAAAGCAAAAAAAAGGAAGAAAATGATCATGCAAATGAGCAGATGCCAACTGGAGCTAATAACAACACGCTCAATAAAGACATAATAGAAAAAAACAAATATCACACAATGCTAACATGGAGGAACTACTTAAACGACTCGAATGAATTAAAACAGTGTGTTGTACTGGATGCACTAAATATATGTTCCGGAATGGATGGATATATTGATGGAGAAAATTTTAACTTTGACGTTTTGGTAAATGACGCATACTCCTATCTGGTGAAATACAAAACGAAGTTGTCCATTTTCCGGTTGATCTACGCCGTTACGTCCCTACTGAAGAGCCAAATGCGACCAATTGTATGTAAAAAAAAAAAATAATAATATAAAATAATAATGAAATAGTAAGAGAACAATCCAAAAGAGGAACACATTTTACGTGCTTGCACACGCATACATTCATGCGCCTGTAGCTGCATATATGAAAATGCACGAGCTTGTAGAGAGTTACCATCCCATTTAGTCATTTTTCCATTCCACATGTCACCTGCGTACGCATTTCAGCATAAGTGGAACGTCCAGCACACATGAAACGTAGACAGCTTCATGCTTCCAACAAAATTCACGCTTCTACCTCTCCGTTACTTAGATATATATTCCCCACTGGTGGTACCATGACATACCCTTCTGCGAAAATAATATCGTGGAATCGGGAGATTTCCACTTATTCGTTTTTAAGGTAGAGCCTACGTATACATGTATATACCTACATGTAACATCCCCTCATCCATTTTATACTTTCAAGTGCTGGGCACCCTTTAAAGGAATATGCACTGCGTTCAAATTATCCCCCCTTTCCTCCACTTTTTCTTTTCCTTCATTCAGGAATTAGAGAAAGACGGGTTCCTTAAAATTGGAAATAAAAACAAAGACTCTTCTGTCCTAACCATGGATGAAAAGGGTAACTGCGCTGATTGATTAAAAAAGAAAAGGTGTCACCCCCCCCATGCTGTTTGTCATTTTGTTACAAGAAATTATTTGCTTCCACTTTTGCATTTTTCCCATTTGCCTCTTCTCTGTCTGTTCCCACACCGCAGATACAGATTTGTTTGTCGAGCTAGCCATAGAGGAAAATGCAATCCTCTGCACGAATAATAACGATATCATTAAATACTACATTGACGTACGAACGAAAAAGGGAAAAAATTTACCACATTCTTACGTGATGTAGCCATGATGGCACAATTCTTGTGTTCCCGTTCTTTTCTCCCCCTAACCCCAGTTAATATACACCTTTTTATGTACACCACATGTGCACATATCTTCTTACAGATTTGTGAAAATGCGAAAGTCTCCAAGTTCATTGCGAAGGGAACCTTTTTTATGCTGGCCAACTTTCTTTAAAAAAGAAGACCTCAAATATCTTTCGTGTTACACTTTTAAGATAAAAAGGAGCTATCACTACGCCATGTTTTTACAAATTGACAGAAGGAAGAATGGAATGAAATGAGATGAAACGAAGTAATCACATAAGTACCCAAAATAGAGTAAAAAATAATTAACCCTTTTGCTTACACGGGAATGTTTTTTCCAAAATAACCCAATTACTGTTTAATATTTTGAATCGTTACATTTTTTTTTTTTTTTTATGGTAAGAATAAGTACACGTTTAATGTGCCCCTGTTTTTAACGAATTAACCTCTTTGTTTTAATTATTAAAGATCTGTTTATACACTCTTTAAATGCTGGTTTCCCTTTTTTAACACTTCTCAATATGCACCTCACTTTTTCTATACATTATCATTTCTTTCATTTTTTCTATACCTTATCATTTTTTTCATTTTGTCCAATTTCTTCATACTTGTTCCTCTTTTGCGCATAACCCGTACCATGTGAATTTAAACATATGCCGGGCCACATGCGAATTTTTTCGTAAAAGCTTGTTTTATTTTGTCGTACTGTACGTCGGCACAGAAGGGTAAAATAAGCGCGTGTATTGGTTATTAAAAACGAGAGGGAAAAAAACGGAAAGAACACAAAAAAAAACACAAAAAAAACACAAAAAAAACACAAAAAAAACACAAAGAAAACACAAAGAAAATATTTTTCTATACGACAGCATTTCATTCCAAGCAACTCGACAAAGGCATACGAAACTTTTACCTTTAAACTGTACTTTCATTCATTTTGAACTTCCTTTTAAAGAAGCATGCGTCGCACTTTCCGTTCTGCGAAAAGCAGCTGCGACTGAGAACAAAAATAAACAAAGAACAAACAAGCGCTGCAAGCAGAAAGAAGGCCTAGCCGAAGATGAATACCGGTGACACCTACATGTTAAGGTACAACAAAAGAAAACACCTAGCAGTCCTTCTATTCGAGTTAACAAAATATGAAAAAAAAAAGGATGACTTCAAGCCAGATTTTGAGAACGATGAATTTTACAACCAGCTGGAAAACCTCATACAGATCCTATTTAATTATATATTTAATTTAAGTAAAGAAAACTACGCAGACTGTAAAGATGACATCCCTCATGAGTGTTATCATTCCAGTTCTTCCGAAAATTTAAGTGATATTCTAACAAATTCTAGTGAAGAGGATGAAGTAATATCGAACTTCTTTCCACCTAAGGAATGCCACGCGCAAGAGGAAGATACTCCACATATTGATACTGCCGAAGAGGAGGAAAAACTCGAATGTATAGAGTCAAAATCGGGAGGTTCGAATGATGACAAGAGTTCCATGGCGATCTCCAGCTCATCTTCTAGCGACACTTCCAACACAGATAACAATATAGACCTCGTCACCAGTTTACCGCTCAAAAAGGACAGACCTAATGAAGCATCTCTCCAAGAACAAAATCCTCAAAGAGAATCCCCTCATGAAAGAAATAATAACCATATGTCCGAAAATTTTTTCAACTTTAATTTAAAATGCAACAAAAATACACAAACGATAAAGGAAAAAAAGAAGGTGGAAGAACAAATATTAAGCATCTACTATAAGACCTTCTCTTCCAACATCATTGACATGCTGTTAAATAGTCTCACTGTAGAAATTTCAGATATTATTTTATTCTTCCTTTTCGATGACGTTGGAAGTATTGAAGATATCAGTTCCTTCTTTACCAAAGGGCATTACACCTTTGAGATGATACACACATACATTCGGAAGAAGAAATTTAGTGCTGCTGTGACGTCTTCAGAGAAGGGAGCATATAAACACAGATGCGCAAACAACTCATCCCATTTTGAAAAGAGACAGCAAACGGATGATACTAAAAGTGTGTGCATGAGGGGAAAGGAACAAGAGGGGGACACACAGAATAAGGCGGAAAAAACTAAAAGAGAACAAAATACAGGGGAACGATGTCCCCCCTTAGACGAAAAAAGTAAGGTAGAAGGAGGTCCATGTCTGAATGAAGAATGGCCTCCTACCAATATCAGCGCTCAAGAATGCACAAACGATGACCGCGCAAATGACGCAAACGGGGAAAATGAAGAGGGAAACAGTACCTATTACTTAAGCGAAATATTGCCAGAAGAAGGCACAAAAGATATAGACCCCCCCTCTGCGAGTAACCATCCTCGGGATGTCTCTAAACTAAGAAATGTTCTCATTAAAGAGGACACATTAATCGTTGAAAATTTTCACTTCCAGTTAAACAAATCCTCCGTTCTGCTCAACAAATTTATCAGCGTGTTAAATGTACATCTGGAAAAGCAGAAGCATTTCAAATTCTGCACTGATATATTTTTCGTAAAAAATTTAAGGTTGAGCTTTTTGGAAGCGTCAAAGCCGTGGATTTTCTATTGGTGTATTCACACTATCTACATCTTACATAACGATTTAGAGATTGAGCAGAAGTTAGGTAAAACCACCTTTGGTTATATAAAACAGTGCGTGTTCGCCTATTTAAATAAAATAAAAAACGAAAATGGAGGCTTCGGAGGTGGACTAAATCAATACACCCACATAGCGACTACGTACGCGGCGGTATGTGTCTTTATATACCTACACGATGACGAAAATAATTTTTTAAGCTTTCTCGATAAAAAAAAATTACACTCTTATATCCTTAAGTTAAAATGTAAAGATGGTTCATTTCGATTACACAAAAATGGGGAGATAGACATGAGAGGCACCTACTGTGCCATAGCAGTATGTTCCATGTGTCACATACTAACTAATAAAGTAAAGAAAAATGTGGAAAAATATATTCTGTCCTGTCAAAATTACGAAGGCGGATTTACTAGTGAGAAATTTCAGGAAAGTCACGGAGGTTATACCTATTGCGCCTTAGCTACTTTGTGCATTCTAGGAAAAGTTCAAAAAGTCAATATGAATAAATTAGTACACTGGCTAATTAACAAACAAGGGAACTTAGAGGGCGCGTTTATGGGAAGAACCAATAAGTTAGTGGACGCTTGCTACTCCTTCTGGATTGGATCCATTTTCTTTTTAATAAACGAAATGCATCTATTAAGGCAGTTCCTGCAGAGTTGCAGAAATGGAAATAAGAGAAAGCATATTCGTGGAAGAGACCAAATTGTGGATAACACGAATTTCCCCAATTTTAATGACCCAAGCAATTTTGAAAAAGTTAATGTAATGGGAACTAGTTCAAATGGGGTAAAAGCTGAACATCCCTCTATTGACGAAGGAGAGAACCTCAAAACGCGTAACAAAGCTAAGGGCAGTCATCACTCCGACGACTGCATGGATGCGCCGTCCAGGTGGGATCACATCAGTAGTAATTACCCCCCCATGACAACTCAAATAAACAAAGAACAAATCAACTTTGAAAATTATAAAAATAAACTCTTGCAAAAAAAAGTCATGTTTAATATGAATTTCTTAAAGCTCTATTTGCTCGTCTGTTCTCAAAGCAATAAGGGCGGCATGAAGGACAAGCCGATGGAAAAAGTTGATTATTATCATACGTGCTATGCCTTAAGTGGCTTGTCCATAATAGAAAACTACATATTCTCACAGAAGGCAGGCGACGAGACGTACAATACGAACCATATAAACCACCTGAACAGAATTCACATCCTTTACAATATAACCGTTTCAAAGGTATACAAAAGTTACACCTATTTTTCTCCCTCTTTTCTTCTAAGTGAAAACAAGATTAATCACCGAGTTGGGAAGGGTGCCTACTTATATTTGAAGCGGCTCCTTTCCTGACATTGCCCCCTGTTGGTAAACGGCAGGTGTTCACGTTTATGTATACACAGCTGTTTCTTACATATTATGTACCGATAACGTACAGCAGAAAGCTGCACTAAGGGTGATAAAATAGATAAAGAAGAAATCATAAACGCCTTAACCATTTGGCATTTTCCTTTTTTTTTTTTTTTTTTTCTGTTCTTCTCCACTTCCCCCTCCGCCGTTCGACAACTGTTCATTCGTCCGGGTTTGTATGCTCTTTAATTTCCTTCCCGTGATGCATTTGCTTAACGCAATTCCGCAACTCTGTGACCTAACGCATTAGCAATTTGTTTACCATCAAGAACCTCACTGAGATGAGGAATATTTAGCAACACAAGCGCAATGAGCAAAGCGATTTTCTACATTGTTGTTCTTCCATTTATTCTCCCCTTAATGCGTATTACTTCCCCCCTTCCCATCGACATTTGCCGCCTTTATCACACACTTGTTGTACATAAAAAAATAACGCTAACATGATTAGCATTGATATTTATGTAAAAGTTACAAACTTCTCAAAGATTAAAAAAAAAAAAAAAAAACTCTTTTAAGTAAACATATGTGGGTTATAAATGCTGGTCCGACCTTACAATTCTCGCCCTGCATTATCGTACATTTCCATTATTTTGCGAGTGTTTACTTGCTGGTTTTCTTTTTTCTTTTTTTTTTTCAAAATTCTTATGCATTAAATTTTCAGATATCATATGCCAAGTACAAATATGAAAAAACATTTTTTTAATGTTCACACGTTTAGAAGAAAACGTTTTAAATAAATGTTATCTTTTAAGAGGGCCAAAAAGTTTTTTCCTTCCCCCTGTTCAGCTGCAGCAATTCCATCAATATAATAACGAGTTCACGAAGATTTTTAAAACTAATCCTTCCATCATGAAAGAAGAAAAGAAAAATAATTTCCTATTCAACTGTTTTAAATCGTTAAAAAGCACCTTAGTGCCAAGTTTTCGAGTATCAAGGTAAGTTTCTTTTCACCCTGTTTTCTAACCTGCACAAATATGTCACATTGTAGCAGTTTGGCTACCCTCCTGTTCATGTAAATTAAACTGGCGTATACATACCGATGTGAGAAAAGGTTCATATGGTATTGAGGGCCCCCCCCTGTTCGTGCCACATCATTTTCCTGCAACAAGTCCGAAAGTGTGTTTGTGTGTGTGTAAATACGCCGCGTTGAGCTCCTTCTTCTCTCACGAGTAATGCCTGCACAACTGGAGGAGATGTATCGCTCACGTATTCTATTTCTGTTTTCACCTGCCCTGTCAGATGTGATGCACCAAAAATGTGGAGATTAGCCATGGGCGGGGTAGACCCAGCCACACCTCAAGCAGAATCCTTTATCAATTTTCATAACCACACAGTAACGTATATGGTTTTTATTATGTTTACCGTCCTAATGTCCCTAAAGAGATAAACGCTCATCTGCACATGTAGAAATATCTAGGGTATCAAGAATATATATTTAATTTGTTCACCCCCGAAGAAAAAATAACGGAACAGTGTACCCACCCCCATGATGCGAAAGATTCAATTTTCGTCCCAACAAGACAAGAAGGTGGAACTGCATTTCGATGTAGTTTACATATTGCGAGTGTCTCCAGTTTTACACATTCGCATTGCCTTAGTGTACATACCTAATACTATTATTTTATTTTATTCTTATCTTATTCTTTTTTTCTGTAACGAAGTGTACGGAATTGAACGCTGTGTTCATGGCCAAAGACATTAAAATGACATAGGAAATCGTTGGACAACAATTAAAAATTGAAATGAAACGTGCATACAATGGACGTTAGAATCGAAACGGAATACACACATCCGGAGTTAAAATTCAAATGTGTATATGCACTTATGTATATACTTATATACAATATAAATATACACATATACTGGTGTGAACCCCCCCCGGGGGCCACCCAATTGTGCAGGCTGGACATAACACACGTATGTCTTGTGGACATACTGCCACCATTGTCATACAAAATAAGAATTAGAGAAAAAAAAAACAGGAAAAAAGGTAAAGCTAGATGGAAACATGGATCATCTAAAACAAAAGGATGTTGTGGAACATATGCCCTTGAAAAAGGGCCAAACAGCGGAATTTCTCCCCGTGGGCAAATGCCAAAGGGTGAGGTTCTCCCCCTAAAAATATACAACGCGGTAGCTTATTCCAGTCAGAAATATCAACCATTGGAATATGTCCCCCCAAAAAACGTAAAACAGCGAGATTCATCAGGTTAGAAAATGGCAACCCCGGACATACATAATTAAATGGAGTGGCCATTTCACGTTCCGGCGCGGACCTCGCATGTTGGGAATGAGTATCAAATGCATTGTAATTAACAATAATGACAACATCAGTAATAATACCACTGATGATGTTACTAGTGGTGCCACCATCCGTGTCACCAGACGCACCGCTAATCAGAGGACGAACAAACAAAGGATGATACATTTTCAACAAAAACCATGCTCGCTTCGCAAAACTCCTCACTGGTACACGTTATTCACAAACTTACTCACGTTGTTTTCCTTGCTACTATAAATATCTTCCTTCTTATAAATCACCGTTGCTTGCTCATCGTAATCAATAACTACCGGTTCGTAAATACGCAGCAGCTTGTACTTCATGTTTTTATAAACCAGGATTTTATCTCTTAAATTTTCATAATAAAAGTTCGCATTCAAGTTGTAATTATTGATAATGTCTACTATGTCTTTTCCGTATTCTTTTGTGCTTTCATCCGAGATTTTTTTGTATTCATTTTCGTCTCGCAGTTTGTCTTTTTTCCTTTTCTTATGAGCGTTCTTCTTGGGGTCCTTCTTCGATGTCTTCTGTGCCCCTTTTCGGGGACTACTGCGACTATTGATATTTCCGCCACTGTTTCTGGCGGTATTCCCCTTTTCGACTTTTGCCGATTTGGCCTTATATCCTTTAACTCTTTTGCCTCTTTGATTTCTCTTACTTGTGGAGGAATTGTCGTGCTTCCTCATTTGTTTGTCTCTGTTAGAAATGGCCTCTTTCCTGGGTGATTTTTCCTCATAATTCGCTATCTTTCCATTTTCCGTGTTGTTCACGGAGGCATCCTTATGCGAATTCGTCTTAGTGGCATCCTGCGGGAGCGCACTTCTATCTTCGCTTTTATCTGTGCTTCCATCCGCACTTCCATTCGCACTCCCATTTGCATTTCCATTCGCACTCCCATTTGCATTTCCATTCGCACTCCCATTTGCATTTCCATTCGCACTTCCATTCACATTTCCATTCGTATTTCCATTCACACTTCCATCTTTGCCCTTTCCTTCCCGTTTCGTCATGCTTCTCGTGTGGATGAGGGAATTTTTGCGTTCTGATCTGTCATGTGTTTCGCCCTTAATTGGATCGATCCCTTTCTGCTCGCAGTGATTTTCCACTGACCCATGGGCAACTTTGGAATGATCTTCAACTTTCTCTTCCACTTGTTCATCCAAAACATTTAATTTGTTTTTCGCCATATGGATCTTCTTCGCATTGGTTTTTTTTTTCTTCCTTTTAACACTTCGGGGATTTTTTTTTTTTTTAGTTTCACCCATTGTAACATCCTTTCCATCACTCGGCCTCCTCGTCATGGCTAACACATTTTCGTGAAAGTCCATTTGGTCTAGCAACAATACCGTTTCGTCATCTAGGTAGATGCAGCTACTAACGTTGGACGGGTAATCTTCCCCATCGGAATTTTCAAAACAACTACTTTTGACATGTCCATCACTATCTGACGTGGACACAGAAAACGTGCTTTGCTTCATCGACTTTAAAATGTAACCATAAAACGTGTAGGACGGCCTTGAAACCAAAACAGTTTTTCTATCAATACTATGCTCATTATAATTTAACAAATTTGTGTACGTTTTGCTGACCACCAAATCGTTCTCGTTAACGTTGATTTCGTCTTTTAATAAAACTATGTTGGTGTACCAGCTGTCGCAGGTTCCATATTTTGTTCCAAAATGTTCCCCCTTTCGAATTTCCACATCTATGGTTATTAAAAACCCACAAAAAGGGCCACTTTTTTCAATGCAAAAGATGTGATTCCTTTTTTGTATCACTTGGTTAGCTACATTCTGTTCCAAATATAAATATTCTAGTGTACCAAAATCGGTGTTCCCATTTTCTTCTTCAGTTAATGATAAGTTACACCACTCCAACATAACAGATTGTAGTAGTTTACTCTTGGGGCTAATAATTGTCCTCTCTGGGTAATTCTCACTCTTATATATGATATTGTCATAGTAAGGAAACTTCACGGGGCAGTAATATGTGGCAACGCTATACGGTATGCTCTTAACATTCATATTGTAGAATTCTTCGCAGCTGTATAATTTTTCATCTGCTGCGAATTTCCTGTATGCTATTTTTTCCACCTTGTTAACATTCTGCTGACCCCTTTGCTCGCCCGTCTGTTCGTTCTTACCACTTTCTGCGTATTTTTTTGGCCTTTCTTCCTCAGTCGGGGCGTCCTCCCCGTGGTTCTGCAACGCGATGTTGTAACAGCCCTCGTTATCGCCCCGGTTATTACCCCCGTTGTCACCCCCGTTCGTCTTGCGCCAATTGTACAAATACTCCTGGTACTTTCGGTAAGAAAATATTTTTTTGTGCAAATCGAGGTATATGTCTGCCACTCCCTCTTGAGAAGCGAAATCCCCTATCACTTCGCTTATTATCAAGTCGTAATTAAAACTCCTGCAGTGCTGCTCATCGACGTTAGAATCAAAGTAGTTGTACAAGGAGCTTCTCTTGCTCAATCTCCTCTGATCTTCTTCGTCTTTATAGACATACATTTTCGAATAACAATTTATAATTTTAATAAAATCTTCCAAATTATATCCTTCTATTAGCTTCTTCGCCATTTCGGACGCGTCTTTATTAACCTCCAGCGCATCTACATGCTTGGCTCCATTTAGGATGGCATTAATGGATAACAAGGAGAGTGGTCCCGTCCCTATTTCAATTATTTTCTTATTGTAAACGTAACAGTCTTTATTATTTTCAAAAAATATATATGGATTCTTCACTCCGTTTTGGTCCTCCAGCATTCCCTCAACTTCTTCATCATACGAGTTTATGGTATTAGTCATGCTGTGTACATTTTCCCTGTTAAATTGGCAAACCGCTTTTTGTGCTAATATGGTGGTGCTGTTTTGCTTTGTTGTATCACCCGTGCTGGTTACATGAAGAGAACTCGTTTCACCTTTTCCACAGAGTGCCATGAAAGGGTCACCTCCACCTTCGCACATGTCCTTATGCCCTGTCCATCTCATCGCCGCTCTGTAATAATGCAACCTGTTAAAATCATTTAGCATGGTTAAGTGATTGTACAAATTAAACTGATTACATATAGACAGTGTGTTTGGCTTCTTCCCATATTTGTACTCCGTCCTTGTCGCGATATTCTTCTTTATAAATCGATTAATTTTTTGTTGCAAAGTTAGCTTTTCTCCCCAGGTTTTAATTCTTTTTTCGCCTTCTTGTTCCATCAGTTTTTTGGATAAATTTGTTTGCAGATTTTTCAAAAGTTTTTTATATTTTTTCTTCACCGGTTTATAATCATTTGGATTAATAACATCAGCTGTATCTTTCTTTCCCTCAAATTCGTCTGCATTGACTTTGCTGCCTTTTTTCTTACTTAAGTTTTTTTTTTTTGTCGCCACTTTCCCCTTTGATGCGTTATATGTCCTGTCATCATTCATTTTTTCCTCCTCATATGCGCATTTTTGATATACACTTTCAGCCGTGGAGACATCTCCGGTGTGGCCTTCTTTCTCCTCCTTTTCGAGAACCAGTTCGGCACCCGCTTGTCTTTTTTCCTCATTTTCTGCTTCTCCGTTCATTTCACTTATGTGGCTACCTTTGTGGACACTGTTATGGCCACTTCTAAGGCTACTATTATGGTAACGTTTATGGGCACTGTTATCGTTACCTTTGGCTTCTTCTCTTGTGATGTGTTCCCCATCCTCCGTGTTCGAGTTTTTTTTCTTTTTCCTCTTGTTCCTCTTTTCGTGCAAACTTATGTCGTCATTACCGTTAACATTTTCTTCAGAATATTTCCTCTTGCTCTTTTTAACATTTCTTTTATCATATGTTGAGCTCTCCATTTGGTGTTCCTTTTTTTCATCTTCTAGTAATTCATAGACTGCCTTTCCATTTGATACACCCGCATCGTTTACATTACACGGGTTAACTCCATCACCTGTCTGGATTTCCTTCGATCTATTATATTCATACTCCATTCCTACATTATCGTCATTTATTTTTTTCTCGTTTGCCTTAATTTCGATGCAGTTTTCCTTCATTAAGCTTATGTCATCCTTAGTCGAGGGGGAGGGGGGTTCTTTCCCTTTCTTTAGGCTTTTTCTGGAGGTGCATTTTTTGGTACTCTTTTTGGGAGCATTCGCTTTGAGTTCTCCTCCAGTTTCATTTGTCGGATTTGCCTGGTTTTCCAACCTAGTTGAGGGAACAACCTCTTCTTGTTCGACCCTTCTTTTCGCGGTGTTTTTGGTGGTCTTTTTCTGGGTTATTTTCTGAGTCGCTTTCTCGGTCATTTTCTCCACCTTTTCCACCTCCCCCCTTAGGAAGTTATCCTGCCCCGCTTTCCTACTTTCACTCCAGTCATAAGGGGCACCCCCATCCGCTGCATGATTATCAGTGTATCTCTTCGTCTTGCATACCTCGGCAACTTTCTGTGCGTTACTATCCTCCTTGTTGTTTTCATGGGGGTACCCCTCGCAGTAGCCAGAACCCCAGGTGTCATCCTTTGTCGTCATGCATAACGGTATTCCTTTTTCACTTTCAGCTGCCAAATTGTCAATCCCGTGTAAATCTAAGGGTATCTCTTTCTGTTCTACATTTTTATCCCCTTCGCCTTCCTCAAAATGTGTGCCTGTATTTCCGATGTTGCAATTTTTCTCATTCTTGTTGGCATTCCTCACTTGCTCATTTCGTATTTCCTTTTTTTTTATCTCATTTGTGCAATCACCTTTCTGCACATGTTCATCTATACCTTTACAGGAACTCTCTGTGTTTGCTCCGTTTTGCGTGTGCGTTAATTTTTTGTTGCTACTTCTCAGATTCATGTTATACGAATCTTCGCCGTTACGCAGCTTATATTCTAAACAATTTTTTCTTTTTTAAGTTGTATTATGCTTTCAACTTCATTTAAAATGCTGTTCGAGTAAGCAACATCCCCTTAGGCACACGATATATGTTCACGCAGGTGCATATGTACTTGTATCCACAGTTGTAAAATGCAGTATCATACCAAGTGGGTGTTGAAAAAAAAAAAAAAAAAAAAAAAAGAAAGGGAGTGTTACTATTTACTTCTCACAGAAATGAAATCGTGGAGCTATTGTTCTGTAGATATTATCATTTTATTTTCCTAAAGTATTCTTAACGCATTACAAAACATTTCTTTTTTTCTTTCCTGCCTTCCTATTTTGCGGTATGGGGCCAGGAGAATGAACAAACCATTTCACAATATTATAACCGCGTGTAAAGAGTACTCGTTAATGTACGTGTATGTTTGTTTATTTTTTTTTTCTTTCTTTTTCTTTCTTTTTTTATTTATTTTCCTTTTTTTTCACTTCTTTCCCTTTTTTTTTTGCCAAATTCCCCCATTCAGAATAATCATGCGAAAGAAGTGCAACAAATAATGCCATACCGAACAATCTGAAGAATACATAACATGTGTGTTTTCGTTTTTTAAATAATAAAAAGGTATGAAGGAAAAATTTAGTGCATGAAGTGTGCGTCCTCCAGGTGCGGCATAGGTATTTTGCTCTATTTTTTCTTTTTTTGAACTTTTTCCCTCCCATAAGTCGTCTCTCAGGTGTGGCATTCCTGGATAATTTTACACAAGTGAAACTTGGATTTCATGCAAAAAGTGTGCGCTGGCACAGTGGAAAATAAAACAAAAGGGCGTAGAGGGCCGCACAAGCTGATTATCGGATAACCGCTTGAAATACTGTACAAATGTGACGCATACACTTTTTCTTCCTGCCCCAGATCGGCAAAATCGCATAGTATACTTTTTCTATTTATTTCCACGAATACGCTAGTTGCAAAATTCTTTTTCTTAGGCCAATTTGATGCCATTCTTGACGCCCCCAAGTGTAACCACATTTACCATTTGTCTTTTTTATATGATAACATTTCATCCTTTCTGTTCTTCTTTTAACGCTTCTTCCCGCTTTATTTGTAAGTTGTACTCATTACACACTTTGGAAACATGCTGCCCTTCACCCTTTAAAACCTTCTGAAATTTCACCGAATATAATTTCCAGAACGTGCACAGAGAAGAGGTCCACACGAATGAGCACCCACCAGTAAGCATACCCACATGTGTCATCATCCAAATAGCACAATCACAGGACGCCATCCCTAGCAAGGAAACAATTTCAATTTTTCTTCCACAAACTGGCAAATTTAGGGTTATCACTTTCCCCGCAAGGTAAAAATGAATTTGTTGCAAAAACGCACTAAAATAACGGCACCTGCACCTTTGTCATATGAAGCGGAACATGAAAGGGATAAAAAAAATAGGCCGACGGGTGGGTAAAAGAAATTGCTAAAAAATTTCATACAATTTGAATTTTACAAAGGTAATATTCCTTTTTTTTCTCCTTCACAATTTTTTTAAAAAAAAAAATCCGTATAAGTATACTCTTGTAAAGGGCGTGCATAAGGACTACAAACATGACAACAAAGATAAAAATACAATTCAAAACGGAAAGGATAATATGGTACAAAAAAAAAAAAAACAATAAACCGGGAACACAAGAAAATTAAAGTACAAAAATTTGGACCATGGTTGCGTGGATTCACCAAAAAAAAGACGAGCGGTGCAAAGGTTGCACAACCAGATGATGACAAAATGACGACACCTTCGCAACAAAGATGGTTTCATAAAAGCAGAAAAAATATATTTACAGAACTTTAGAAAAATAAAACTCTACAGTGGGGTGCTGTTCCTCCCCCCTCCCCCCCAAAAAAAAAGATGATTAAGACAAAGCGCATGACACTTAAATGGTAAATATCTCCCAAATGTAGGACAGCATTTCTCCATGCTTACGGATCACCCACCGGCCTTGGGTATTACGAAAACTGTATTATTCCGTACTTGTTAAAAATAAAATTTAAAAAAGTTTCCAAACAAATATTTTTAACAGCGGGGTTAATGCCTATTTGAATGTACTCATACAAATTGTAAACATTGCTGCAAACATTCTTATGCCATAAATGATTATTTTTGTTTTTCTCCTCCACTTGGCGAATTCCATTCCTGGTACAACTTGTTCTACTCGATTCCGAATGCAGATGGTCATATAATACTTCTTCTCCCTTTTGAAGAGAACTGTTGACGTCTTTTTTTGTCGAATTAATCACATCGTTACAAGCGTTAAAATCCTCACAACCCTTACAACCCTTATTTTCCCTTTTTAAGTAAGCGTTATTATACCTATCCTTATCTCCTCTCTTTTTAGTCTTAACGTATTTTGTCATACTTCCCATGCCAGTGTCTGGACCTCTATTAGCGAACAAATTATTTCCTTGATTGCTCAGTTCGTCAAACAGGGAACCATTATAGGGGTACGAAACGTTGTACGCACTAATGTTGCTAATGAAGGGGAATATCAAGAGGGCTACCTGTTGCATCAGTAAGAAAAAATCGATAACTGTTAAGCCTTGGTTCTTGTTAATGTACTTGCTGAAGAACACTTGCCTCATAAATAAATACTCCAAGTCGTATATGTTCATTTTTTTCCTCCCCCCGCTCTTGTACCTGGTGCTGCCAATTCCTATGGTGTTGAAATTCACCAGATTGTTTGACGTTGGAACTAGAGAAAAGGGGCACAACATAGAGGCATAATACGAGCCGTTTCCGGCCTGTTCCTTGCATCGGTCGTGGCTGCGAGTGGTGCAGTCATTGTCGGTATTGCCACCATTTCTAACATTGCTCCCTCGGAGAGAAGAAAATTTTGCAGCACCTGTGCCTTCTTCTCCCCTGCTTCTGTAGACGCGGTCCTCCGACAAAATGCCCTTTGACAAATCAGTGGGATCTCCAAAGCTGCAGTTGTTCGAGCAGATCTCATCGCTGACGTGTCTTTTCCTGTGCATTCCAGAATTTCCTCTGTCGCAATTTTTATTTTTCAACACCTCCTTAACCATTTGAAACATTTGATTTTCATGCTTGCTTTTATTTACCTCAAGCAAATTATTGTAACTGCTCGTGGGGATATCTACATTTTCAATTATTTTATTTATTTTTACATCTGCACACATGCAAAGGAAGGTATTTTTGTCAATGTGATATTCGATTTTCTTATTATTCTTCTTCAAATTCTTGTCATATTTTTTTAGCACAAAATCGAAGAGAAAATAACAGTCATTGTATATTTTCATTTCGTTATAATATCTGCTCGTTTCTTTTTTCAAATTTATGTATACGTTCTTTTCCAGTACATTATTTTTTAGGGGATGTAAAATATCTTTCCTGATTTTTGTGTAGGTCTTTTTCAAGTCTAACGAAATGTTTTTATTGTACAGTTCTTCAAAATTGTTTATATCATTATTGTTTATGTAACGAATTCCCAGGACATTTAAGCAGTTCATGTATTTATATAAGTTACTCCTAATCATGATAAAATTTTCGATTTTCTTTTTATACACGCTGTCACTAATATTTCTTGACAGTGATTTGTACGTTTCCACGTCATCGTTGAGGAATCTATCAAACTGGATATCTTCTTGATTGTCGATTTGTACGTAGGTGTCTTTATTTAGAATGTTGTTCTCGATTAGTTTGTTATCCCTTTTTAGTAATTCTTCATAACTGCACATTTGGTTCATTTCTTCTTCACGTGGGATATCCTTTCCTCTGCTAGAGTACCGCAATGGCCCCTTTTTATTACACTTCACGCTTAAGACGCCATTCTGTTTTTTCCCTAATTGGTTAACAAAGTTTCTGTCCACATATTCCACACTGCCATCACTGCTGCCACCGCTACTATAACAGTCGTATGTGTATGTGTGGCTACTTCCCTCTTTTGTGTCCCCCACAGCATTCGATTTTCCGTATCTTCCATTCTGCACTTCGTTATCTTCATGGTCCATATCTGAGCTGGTATACACTCTTTCGTCGTTCGAAAAGGAGACCTGGTCTTCGTCGTGATTAGTCGCCTGCTGATTCGGATACTTTCTCTTCAAACTTCTTGGGTGTTTCCCCGGATGGTCTGCCCCATGGGCATCACCACCATGTGTTCCCTGCATTATGCCGCTTAGATAACTGCTCGTGCTATTTGATGATCGCCTGGAATACTTCCCGTTATGTCCAATTTCTGCGCCCGTTTCGTTCGATGTCATTCCCTCGTTTGGGGGCGGTTCCTCACTGTCTTGTTTCGTCACCCTTGTTGTGTATCCGTTCTGGGCCTCCCTATTATCATTGCTTTCGAGTTGGCTGCTCCCTCCCTCAGCCTCGTTGTCCATTTCGTTCGAAAAACTGAAGCTAGCGATATCATTTTCATCAACGCACGTGTCGACGATGCTTATGTTTTCCTTTTTCAAAAATAAATCATTTTTCGTTTCTCCCTTTCTTTTTATCACCCTATTCATCAGCTGCGCATCACTTACCAGGTTCCCTTTTTGAGTACAACTCAATCTACACTTTCTTCTGGACTCACACTGATCATTACACGACAAGTGATCTGTGCACCCCTTTTGGGGATAAATTTTGCGACCACTTGAGAGCACTTTACCTAGACCGCTATTCCGAGTGAAGCCATTTTTTTTATCAATCATATTATTGCAGGCTATGTCCGACTGGAGGTTTCCCTCTGGCAAATCAGTGTTACTAGGCTCGCCTTTTTCGCCCACTTTTTTGCCCACTTTTTTGCCCATTTTCTCGCCCATCTTTTTCTTGTGTGTCCCCCAATTTTTAACATCCCTGATATTTACGGGGACAAACGTGTCGTGCGTGAAGCCGCCTTGAACCTTCACTCTGTTCATTCTGTCAGTTTTTCCCGCCTTTCCAGCTTTGCCGGTTTTAGCTGCTTTTTCCGCCTTACCCGCTTTCCTCGTTTGGTCTTGCCCAATAGTAACGCCTGCGGTGGTGCCCCTCTTGTCCCTTTTCCATAAATGCTTTTTATAAATTTTCCGATACACAATTAAAAACATTTCGCTTATCACGGGCTCCTTGACATACCTGTCAAACATGCTCTCTAACTGTATTTCGAAGTTGATGTAGCTTGGATCAATGTAGTCAATGCGCAGGGACGGATTGGAGTTTACCTCCAGCAACCACGCTTTGCCAGTATCATCCAGCAGGATGTCCAATCCAATTAGCTGATAAAAATAAAAATTGTTATTAAAATTGTACTTTATCTTTTCTTTAATGTAGGAATAAATTGCCAGAGAGGTTAAACAAGTAATTTTCTTTATCTGTCTCCATATATCATCAATATCGTATCCATTATTCTTCAGGTAAATAAAAACATCACTCAGTAGTTGCTTATTATTATTCTTATCATGGATGTTTTTTTTTCTAATATACTTCTCATTGTCTTTATTAATGCTATAGTTAGTTAAATGTATAAAGGTGTTGTAAATGTATCTTTTTTTTCTTTTATATTCCTCTGTACACAATCTAGCAAAGCCAATTTTGGACAAGTATATTTTAGGGTAATGTTTCCCCGGAAGTAATAAGATGTATATACGAAAGTCAAATTTCTTCTTATACATCAACAATGGGTTGTCTATATACTTTTGAACAATGTAGCAGTTGTACCCATTCAAAATATTTATGTTAATGTCGCTATATTTATGTATTACTTTGACTCCCATTCCCATGCTTCCACAATCTGGCTTCATAATGTAGTAATCTTTATTACTACTGTTCAGAATGTACTTTATAATATGTTTATTTTCCGGCAATACAAATGTGTTTGGATAGAAATCATATAGGGAGGGAAAAATAAGGGACAAATGGGACAGTAAAAATGTTAAGGCCTTTTTCTTCGTGTACATATACATGGATGGGATTCTATTTATAATTTTTTTCCTCTTCATATAATTGTAATGATCAAAATCGGTTATGTTATATCCTATCCAGTAAAATATTCCTTTGTTTTCATTGTCAATGCATTTTTTCCAATTCAGTTTGCTAATACATGTGTGAATGAGCACCCTTTCGTACCTGGCCAACTTGGTGTTTATTGTGATATTACTTTTCCCTTTCATGCTTCTACTTCTGTAGTTCACTTTAACTATCTGGTCCTTGTTCCACGGTAGGGCCACTTTACGTGCTCGCGTCGCTGTTCTTCCTTCGCCGCTTGGTTCTCGGCTGCCACCGTTCAGGCAGTTCATGTCGCTCATACCGTTCACACCGCTCACACCGCTCACACCGCTCACACCGCTCATAGCACTTACTCTGCTGCTCCGACTGCTGCCCCCATGGTTGGTACCATTCACACTCTTATCCCCATCCGATTCCCCCTTATTGAACGCCCCCTCGGAGTTATCGACTACATGGTTAGATATGACCCCATTGTTCGATCTTACCCCATCGTCTGATCGGACTCCATCGACTCTCCTTTCATGCCCACCATTAAGGAGGCCCTCCTGTAGGTTAGTTCCTCTAAAATGTGCCAAAAAATCGTTCCTTTCCATGTCCCCCTTTTGCGAAGAGCTACTGAATGCTTTCCCCAATTGCAAATGCCTATCGGTTTGGTTTCCCCTATCAAGTAAGTTCATATATTCAGAATGGGAATTATCCTTTATGGGCACCTCGCAGTGTTCTCCATTATTGCTATTATTCGTGTTCTGGGAACATAATTCGTTACAAATAGGGTAGTTAATTTTCCCATTCGACGCGACTGAATTAGTGCATTGTGTTCCTCCAGTTTGATCTTCCCTCAAGTAATGCACTTTCTCTTCCTTTTTGGTATCCTTTCCCGTTTCATTTTCACCCCCTACACACCCCTTATTCCTATCATCCTTTTCAGGGCTACTGACACATGGAACAGTCCTCTCCACAACGTTGGAACAGTGTGTATTCATTTTTAACTTCTCCTTTTCGCCTCTCATCTTGCCATTTCTATTCAAATTATTTAAGTGATAAATGTACGAGTCAGTTAAGTTTTCCATGCTGTATTTCTTCATCGTGCCATTTTTTAGTTCATTTATATTTTTATTCAAAATTTGTTTTCCCCTTTTTTCGTTACTCCATTGTGTATTTCCTGCATTGGTATTTTGGTAACCATTCCCATCTGCAGGATTCTCTGCGGCTAGTACTTCATACATATGGTAATTTTCCTGACTTGTACTTTCGACCATCTCGTTGCTGCCCTTCGAACCTGCTAAAATAAAACTCGGGTTGGATGGGGACGACCAGCTCTCTTGGTAATTCTGCTCATTGAGCGTGTCCAAATGGGGTTCTTTCCCACCTACGTGGTTTGCCTGTTCCCAACCCTTGCAAAGATTCGCACGCGACTTCCTATTGTGTATGCTTCCTTGAACGTATGCCCCTGCTCCTCCTTCTTTTTTCTCTTTACTTTCTAGAGGACCCCCCCATGCGTTATCGTTGCAATTATTATGATCATTTCTGCCATTATTACTGTCATCGCTGTCGACATCCTTTTTGATATCGTTATTGACATTTTTACTGACATGCTTTATGTTGGGATAATCATCAACCTTGAACGCAGTCTCGTCTTCCTCCTGCTTGCAGCTACCTTCCTGTGCCGGACCTTGTCCAGCGCTGCCTACGTTAGGGCAATATGCTTTATTCCATTGCGGCATCTGAGTGCCCTTACTTCTGTCTGCAATCCGTGTTCTTGTCATGCCGCATCGTTTAACGTTACTAATATGAAGGCCACAATTTCGGGTGAGTAAATAAACCTTTTTCTCTTTATCATCTTCCTGGGGTTTTTCACATATTTTTTCCTTCGCCACTTCCTCACGAAATACAGTTCCATGAATGTTAGCAAACATGTCTAACGCCTGTTTTTTATCACAGCACATATTGGATCTCTCCTGTGGTGTTTCCTTCGAGTAGGTACCTTCACTTGGTATATTAAAATTAATTTCTCCCTTTTCCGTCCTCATTAATCCATTCCTATTTTTGTCAAAATGGACGATATCTTCGTTTCGTCCCTCACTAAAGTTAATGCCCTTACTGACACAAGACAAATCGTTATTGCTATCCATCATTACGGTATTACTTTTAACATGTTCCCCTTTGGGGGCCGAATTTTTATTTCCTAGGGGGGGATTCTCAGGAGTAGCCCTTTCCTTTGTTCTGTTCAAACCCGCGAACTGCGCTGCAGTGCTAAAATAGTTAGCGCTATTTCCATTTCCCGTGTCATATGCACTTGTTTTATCATCGTCTTTTATACTGCGATCGTTGCTGCTACTTATGTAGTAACCACTCTGAGGATATATTTTCTCTACCGTCCTGCTCTTACATGTTTTATTTCTTGCCATTTCGGATCTATTCGCTTTTTCTGGACCTCTAGCTACTCCTCCCCAGTAACTTACACCTACAGTAGGTACGTGTGCAATTACGTTATTATTACACGGCTTACCCGTTTTTTCTCCAGCATCGTAATTTTCGTGATGATTCGTATTGTCTATCTCAGCTGCCATATTCTTAACGCAGTTACCGCTAATCACGCTTACACTGCCGTCAGTTTTCATCCATTTTAAATCTTTTGAAACTGTTCCCTCGCTACTGTTATTGACGTGGGCAGAAGGTGGCTGAATATAACCATGCTGAATACGACACACTCCGTTGGATAACATCACATGGTCGCTACCCCCATTGCATGTGCTGACATTCCTGACACCATTCGTACAACCACTACCATTATGGTTTGAATTCTGAGAAATTTTCCCGTTAAATGCATAATACTTTTGAAGATCTGCATTTCTAAATTCTTGTATCACGTCTTGCGCGATGGAGCTGTGTTTTTTTCCTGCCTCGTCTTCCTGCGTAGTGTAATATTCAATTGGACTCACAAAATTGCAGCTGCTTTGGTTTAACTTATTGCGTAGGGTGAAATTATGTCCTTCATTATTACCATGCATTTGGTCATTACTCCTGTGTCCTGGTTCGGGCTGGGCGTACTTCAAGGCGGTGTTGCTACTTTCCCCGTTGTCTTTTGCTTTTTTGTTGGGGGCATAAAGGTATGGTGCTCTTCCATTCTTGTAAGCAATGTTTTTTTTACTCAACATGGTTAAAGTGTTGTTCTTACCATGTTGGTTGCTTCTGCATTCATTGTTGCCACGTTTATTGTCGCCGCCTCCTCCGCCGCAGGCGCCTCTGAACTGGTTATGCTTCTGCGGGGCAAAGAAATTACCATAACTGGAGCTGTACGATTCTCCATTTTTCCTCGAACATATGAACATATTGCTTCTTTGCACTCGGCATGCATCATCAAAACTGTTCGTGAATCTGTTATGTTGCACATTGAGAACTAGTCCGTTATGAAGTTCACATAGATTAAGGTTTGGCTTCAATTCTGCTTCTGTATTCTTGGTTCCGTTGGCGCTTTCCATCACGTAACGATTTTTCCCTGTTATTCGTTCTAAATGCACCTCGTGAACCAACTTTTCTCGCTGAGTTGCTTTTGAAATGGGTTTTTCTCCTCTTTTCTTTTCATTCGAAATAAGTACAGATGGGTTAAATTGATTTTCCGTTCTCTTCGAATTGCTTACACTTTTGTGATTAATACTTTTAAGAGAGTAGGTTCTACTCAGGAAATTTTCATTTGGGTTTTTCCAATATTGATTTTCGTTTAGTGGGTCCCCACTTCCATTTGTTGTCAAATGCGTCATAGGAACTGCATTCCTGTGCAATGGACCACCTGGATTGATGACCATTTCACTTGTGACATGTTTTCCATTCCGGCTATTCTTACCGATGATACCATCGGTGGGATGCCCAAGTTTGGCACTTCTGAGAAGACCCGTAAGCGGAATCCCCATGGCCTTACCGGAGATCCCTTCATGTGTGATATTTTTTATCCCCATCTCGATAACATTATTTTGCCTTTCTTTTTCATTCCCATTCATGTGGCTCACTGACCTTCCAATTTTCGCATTCCCGAAAAAGTTATCACTACGTAGTGCTTGATTTTTTGTGGTTAATTCAAGGGGGGGGAAATTAACATAATCTTTTAAATTATTTTGCAACCCCCAAGTAGGGTAGGCATTACTTCTAAGTATTAAATTACTGCCTTTGTCACTATATTGATTATTGTTACGATCAAAATATGCTACTTTCCTCTGTTCATAATTGTCATTTTTATTAATGTCGACCTGAGGTACGTAATCTTTGGGGGGGCACCATTTTTGCTTTAAAATTACCTTTCTATTTTGAGCCGTACTATTCGATTTCCCTTTCTGTACCACATAGTCAGCATAATTATACTCATATTTCAGCAAAGCATTTTGTAGGTGGCAATAGGGATTCTTCAATCTGTACGCATTGAACAAATTGTGCGGATTGTATAATGAGTACGCGCTGTTATTTACGTCCTTTGCTTTTCTATTGAAGGAGTTACTTTTTGCTTGCACACTGAAGCAACTACTCTGTTTTCCCACTTGTCTAGACGTACAACCGTTCGATAATCCACCATGTTTGTGTGCCGTATGTGGTGGTAACACCGGTTCATCCTTCTTAAGATTTCCTATGACTACTTCTCCAATGTCAACATTCTTCTTTGTTGCATAGTTTACGTTATTCCATTGCCTATATTGATTAGGTGCACTTTTTAACAGCGTCTGGGTCACGCCAACTTTTGACACGTTTCCTTTTTTCCACTCATTTGCTTCGTTGTTATGTGCGCTGTTATATGCGTTGCTGAATAGCTTACTGAACGTATTCATGTTTCTACTCTCTTATCGTGTCTGCAGTACAGAGATATATCTCTCGAGGTGTACATACGCAGGTGTGCATGAATCCCCATGTGTTGGGAGCTTCCCTGTTACGTGACTTATACGGTGGAGAGGGGGGGATATCTACCTTTCTATATTTAATTTGAGCAATTGTCTCAGTTATGGTGCTATAGGGGTTATACCTCCGTGTTGGCCCGAAATGTGAAGAGTACGCTTCTTTTAATTACGCTTCAAGGCAGCTTCGACTTTGTTTCGACTCTGTTTCGAGTCTGCTTCAATTCTGCTTCTACACCTCTTTGCCGTTTCATTATACCGAGGAACTCTGCTCATATCAGCATGTACACGAATATACAGACACCGTTACGCGCAATTTGCCAGAAACAGTTGCGTCATTTTCTTCCCCCTGCTCGCTTTCCTATGTGAGGGCATTTCAACCACCTGATAAATTTTCTTGGACAAAATAAAACAAAACTCAACAGACAAACTTTCAGAAAGTAGGTCCCGAAGAATATGCACAAAAGTGCCAGATTAAACCATCCCCCACTAATGCGGGGACAATGATTGTGTTCTTCCTTTTTCTAAGCAAGAGGCCCATTTATTGTGAACAAAAAAAGGGGCACAAAAATGTGATCGGGCGCTTGAAACAGTTCGAATAACAACGCACACCAAAAAAAATAAAGAATTGAGCAAGCAAATGGGTAGGCAAATAAACGAGCATATGTGTAAGCAAATAAACAAGCAAATGGGTAAGCAAATAAGCAAGCAAATCGGTAAGTGAATAAACAAACAAATGGGTAAGCAAATAAGCAAGCAAATCGGTAAGTGAATAAACAAACAAATGGGTAAGCAAATAAGCAAGCAAATCGGTAAGTGAATAAACAAACAAATGGGTAAGCAAATAAGCAAGCAAATCGGTAAGTGAATAAACAAACAAATGGGTAAGCAAATAAGCAAGCAAATCGGTAAGTGAATAAACAAACAAATGGGTAAGCAAATAAGCAAGCAAATCGGTAAGTGAATAAACAAACAAATGGGTAAGCAAATAAGCAAGCAAATCGGTAAGTGAATAAACAAACAAATGGGTAAGCAAATAAGCAAGCAAATCGGTAAGTGAATAAACAAACAAATGGGTAAGCAAATAAGCAAGCAAATCGGTAAGTGAATAAACAAACAAATGGGTAAGCAAATAAACAAACGAACAAACAAACAAATGAACAAATAAATCAACAAATGACCAAACGAGGGAAGCGAAATCACACGCAACCACGCTAAATGAACATAACTGGAATTGTGGAAAAAAGAGATACTTTCATTTCCCAGTTGTAATCATGCACATTTTAAAACAATTTTATCTGGAGGCTTCTCTTTTTTTCTGTTAGCATCCTGAATATTTTTAAGAATATGGGTACAAATTATTTTAAGCCAGGCGTCACTCCTTTGCACACTTGCAACCTATATGTGCAATGATGAGAAACACCTTCGCGCAGCACAGAGCGTGCAAACCCCAAAGGCGGAACATAAACATAAGTGGTGTAGCTACTAACTGCCAGTTCGCAAGGCGTTCTTACAATGCTAATCACAATGATGTCCGTAGGAATGTGCAAAAACTGTGTTTAACGAATGAAATGCATAATCTCAGGGATATCTCCAAAAAAAAAAAAAAAAAAACACTAAACATAAAATAGCAAAACAGACGTGTACGTACAATAATGTAGTTGCTGAATTTGCCAATGATGAGAAAAATATAAAAAACAAAATTGCGCATTTCTTTTAGTAAAATATTTGCACATATATATGACTTTTTTCTAGATGTGAGGGAACAGACTTAAGGTCCGAGCTAAAGAACGCCAAATGGTACAACAAAAAAAGGAGACACTCTCTTTAACCAACATTTAATAAGCTAATTTTACACCTCCATATGCTTCCTATTACCTGATTTGGGAAAACTCCAAATGGATAAAATAAATGCGGCACTCCATCCGCAAATTCAGACTATGAAGAGTTAAGAGCATTTTTTTCTTATCCCAGTCTTCGAAAAAAAATAGGTAATTTTAAGATCGAAAAAAATAGGAACCCTGCAAATTAGTGCAAAAAAAAAAAAAAAAAATTGAAGAAAAGCAGTTTAAAGCCGAGTACCAGAGGTGAGAAAATAAAATAACGAGCCCAATAATGACCACTTAAACATTTCTGAATTTTGCCGAGTTCAACGCCGCGAATATGTTGAATCATGTCCAACCACTTGCAAAAATGTTCCATCTTAGTGCAAGGCAAGAAGGGGGGATAGGGGTACATTTAAAGTTTCCACTCCCTGTACACATTTAATCAGCATTTGTTCTGCGCCTAGTGCGATGTGGCGTGGTTAAATGGGCAACATGTAATTTAGCAGTTTTTCTTACCCCATATTTACACTCATGGGACATTACTCGCAGTTTTTTCCACTAGGTGGCTTATTATTTTGCGTTATGTGTTTATATACGAGAGTACAAAGCTACATGTACGGATAGTGGTATCACAAAAAGGTATTTTTGGTGAAGCCGCTTCTCAAAGCATTCATTTGTAGGGAAAAATTGTAAATTCCTAATTCACATCGTTATCCTCTTTCCGAAAATTTGAACTATGAATTCCTACCCATTTTTGCTTTACGTTCCGTCATTTTTTTAAGGCACAAAAGGGGACGATTAAAATGCGCGTAAGTATTTTCCCCAAGTAACGACATTCGCACATTTAAATGTTACATAATGCCAAACGGCAAATAATTCACATCGAGCAAAGAGAAAAACGACCTATGAAAATGGGTATAAGTAATCATACGACGGGCAAATGGGAAAGCCCTTCTCCCATTTAAGTTCGGTATTTTGCCGTTTCGAAAACTTTTCGCGTTCTCCAGAAAAAAGAAAATATGGGAACGAACAAATGGTCACGTACACGTATATAAAAATAATGTTCCTCAATTCATCTGGCACACGTAGGTGACATTTTTTTTCTCCTTTTTTTTTTCTTTTTTTCTCTTTTTCTTCTCTTTTTTTCTTTTGTCTTTTTTTCTCTTTTTTCTTTCTTTCGCTTTTTTCTTTTTTTCTCTTTTTCTTCTCTTTTTTTCTTTTGTCTTTTTTTCTCTTTTTTCTTTCTTTCGCTTTTTTCTTTTTTTCTCTTTTTTTTTTCTCTCTTTTTTTATTTTTTCCTCTAATTTTACATTTCCCGAATGAATGGCAGCCCAATTGAGACGAAAATAACCCATCCATTCACACAGAAATAGGTGCGCAGTACAATGCAAAAATGGACACATATATAATGTCACACATATGTGTATTTATGTGTACGCATAACTTTGCGGCATCGTGAGGAGGTAGTATCCTTCTTCACACAACAAACAAATTTTGCATTGGGGACAGCCCTGCTAACCGGTACACAGAAACAATCGATAAAAATAAAGCTACCGTGAGAGAGGCAATACGTGCGCATATGCACTTGTGTTCCCCTCCCAGCTTCGCCAATTCTTGCAAATCCTACAAGTGATATTTAAGAATTTAGACACAGGAGAAAAAGATAAGAAAAGGGTCAATCCAACAGATTAGTAAAATGGAAAAAATCATGTAGGAAAGAAGAAAAAAGCATCCAATTTAGTATAAGTAGAGAATGCACACACCCGCGCTAAGGCGCGGTAAGAAAAAATACATATATATATGTATATATACTTGCACAATTAAACGCCAATTTCTTTTGCAAAAATGTGTGCGTGCATTTTCCCCAGATTGAAGCGCGACATTATCAATTCTTTAAAGACATTCGTTAACAAAAATCTGAAGGGCAGCGTCTTCAACTGCGACAGTAAGCAGGAAATAACTGAAAACCTTTCTAATCTCATAAGGGACCATTTAAAAAGTAAAAGAAAAAAAAGCAGAGCAAAGCAAAACAAATGAAAAACTAGGCAATACACAGAAGTCCCCCCTCCAACCCGCCTTTCAGTAAATGATGCTTCATCACCTGCGCACTAACTCAACAGGCTTAACCTCAAACAAATATAAAATTGTTGTTGAGATTCTTCTTAACGAAAGCAAAGAACAAGGGATAAAGTAAATAAGAAAAGACATAAGAAAAGAAATGTCCATATCCGTTCACCATGCAGTAACACCTTTCTGATTTCCTGCGATAGTGCACAGCACATACAAATGCTGTGTTACCCAATTAAGACTCAATAATATGCATCACTTTTTTTAAAAAACATTTTTTCCCCTTCCTTTACCATCTCGTAATAGTGTTTCTACTAGGCTCTTCTTCGACAAACAGTCAGATTTCTTCTTTAAGGAAAGCATCAACACCGTAATGACTAAAAAGAAAAACGCAAACTCCTGTGCATATGTCCACATACCTACATATAGGCATATTCAGCGAAATTCTTCAAAGAACGAAACAATCCACATGCGTGTAGAACAAACATTAAGGCACATACACGAAAATAAAATGTGTATCCTTCCTTCTGACCTCTCCGCACGTTTCTGCAGATTTGTGGTCTTCCCCCAGTAAAGCGAGTTTTCCTCATATCTTATTCATCCCCTTCTGTTTATTTTTATTTATAACGCGCTGTAGGATACCTTTCACTGTTTTGTGACGGTTTACTTAATTCATGTGTAGAACACAATCAGAAATTGTAACAACAAAAGGAGAGTCAGATTTTAGCGTAAACATGCGGGATGAAGGGGCTACTACTTCACGGAGTCTATCTGAATAAGTCATTTCTCCATTGCACTATGTGAACTCAGATAAAGAAGTAACCCATTTTGTGCATATACGTATATGCATACCAAATGGATATGACATAATTTATTCAAAAAAAAAAGAGAAAAAAATTATGCTTTTTTAAAAGGCATAAACTTTTTTTTTTTTTGTTGCAACACTGAAATAGTTACGATAAAATGTTTTAAAAAAATGATGTACAAACAGTATTCGGTTATAATTTCGATGTACAACCTCGTATATATTTACATGTAACTCTCGACTTTGTCATAAACACGCAAAGTATGCGCATGTAGACCCATCGTACACGCCTTCGCAAAATAAATAAGCTTTTCGCCTTCGTTCGTGCGCTATAAGCTGAAAGGTTACTTACACACGATATATGACGTGTAAACAAACATGCCATAAAAAAAAAGAGAAAAAAGTCTAAATTATGAAAAAAATTGATCACAAAAAAAATAATGTATATGCCGCATCCCTCTCTTCTGCTTAGCCTTCCCCATACAACAAAATTTTAAAGGTCGTTTTTCTTCCCTCCCTGAACAATTCTAGCAGCACAAATGAGCATTATACGTTTTCGCCATTTAACTATACCCCTTCTACATATAAACTTCTAGCATTTGACCCATTCCGCGGCATTATGCACGAAAAAATGAAGCAGAAATAAATAAACCCTGTTAAGTAAAACATTTATAAAAAATGCACCATCTATGTGTAAGGTATGTATGGGGAAAAATCAATTCACGCATTCGGCCCATGTTTCATGTTCCGCTTAAAACATATACGAGGGGGAAAAAGCGTTAAACGTGCTGCTTCAATTTAAAGAAAATGCATGTCGAAAGTGCAACAGAATTTTATAATCTATTTTCGATTTTTAATTTTCACCATAAGAAAAGAAAACCGTTGGTTCACTAACTTTGCGGGTGCGTGGAACAACAAGTTGAACAACCTGATACATTTTCTCTATCGTTAAAAAAAAGGAAAGAAATCTACAAAAAAAAAAAAATACTCAGAATGATTATAAAACTTCCCCGAATGGGTTAATAAATATATAAAAACATATCGTGCACTAAAGGGAAAGACATTATAAATGCAGCACTTAAGGAATATGAAATGTACACCAAGTTGCTAATTTTGTCTTCTCATTCATTTGGTGTCATTTACTCATTGACGTCAGAGATCTCACATGTGCAATAGGAGAAATTAAAAATTGCAATTATGCAAACACCCACTGCCTTGACGGGTCTACCATTTATACTCTTTTGGGGGGGGGGAGGGGCGAAACGGTCACCACTTCAAAGGCGATTAACTCCGCATGCCTCTCCATGTGAACCGCACAGCGTGATTTCTCAACACGCTTAAATAGGTACATATAATGTCAGTTCATATGTCCGTCCATATGTGCATTGAAATGTGCATTCATATGTGCGTTCAAACATCCGTTTATACATCCGTTTATATATGTGCTCATATACACATGTGCATATGCAAATGTACAAAATCAGCAGACATTCACGTCCTCACTTGCGCATACCCTCATTTTCTCACTGGGTGGTGCAACCCATCAACAAAACTGCCAAGCATGCAAAACGTACAAAAAAGAGGAAACAATATTTTTTAACTCTGTTCAGGTGGGAGAAACACTGGAAAGGCTGATCACATATGCGCAGAAAACGACCGTTGCAGGAAAACAGTTTGAGCTTCTTGAGTACATATCAAGATGTTGCACAGATATAATGATAAGCACAGCTGAAGGAACACCACGGAAAAAAAATTAATTTGTGGACTTTTTTGCATGTAGTATTATTTGCCCGGGGAGTACATATAAATGAATATTTATACATGCAAATATTTATATATTTTTATATATGCGTAAATTCGTTCAAAAATATACACGCGAGAAGCTCAAAGGAAGGGAATTTAAAATGGTCACAAACGACAACACACGCCAAAAAAGAGAAAAAATTTATATATGAACAAATATATATAAACGCGTGTAAACGAAGTTATACATTTTTTTCACATAAATTTTTATACAAATACTTAAAAATATTTTTTTTCTCATTGCTGTAAAATTTTTCCCAATGATGATGAATTATTTTATCTGCATTTCATCGCAAAGAATTTAGTGGTCTCATTTTTACATGCAACAAAAAAAAAAATATATTTTTTTTTTATATAGCTATATGATAGATTAAACCTAAATATATTTTTTAGCATTAATCACAAGGCTCCTACATACTTTAATGTTTTATCCTCTTGATAATTTCTTTCTTTTCAATAAAGAATTCATTTTTAACATTTCGGAAATGAGAAACTCAAAACGTAGGACGAAAAAAATAAAGATACACGAGAAAGCTCGCCCATATGCAATGTTAGTGGGTATATATTTTTGCTTTGAAACAACGGACGTTTGTACGCTCAAATATGTAAGTGAATACTTAATCACATCCTAACTGCAACATAAATGCGTAAAATATCCCGCAGTACAAAGAACAAATATATGAAAGGGTGAAAAAGCCTTTTTCCTGTTTTTCTTTTCCTTTTCATGATAGCGAAAGGGAATAAATGTATGTGTTTAAAAAGTGCGTATACATATCGTCATGAACGTAGCTATGTATGCATAAACACATGCTTTTATCTATGTGGAATGTCACGTGAAGGAACAAGTTTATGTAAATACAGGCACAATTTTACTATGTAAACATATAAGGTGTAAAATTAAAGCAGACGTTTATGTAGCATCCTTGTTTTTTCTTTTTTTTTTTCTCTTTTTGCGCCACGTTCACACAAGTGTTTCTTAAGTTCAAACGACATACTTAATTTCGTGTTAAGCTTATCCTTCGACTGTGCTTCTTTCTATTCCTCCTATGTAGCTTTACATACAAAATGTCATATGAAAAAAAAAAAAAAATAGCCAAAAGTTGTGTATGCCTATATGTAAATATGCATCTACACAATCATTTCCACAATTGCTAGTGGTTATTTTGAAAAATTCTGCTTAATTACATTTTCGTGCATTCTATCAGGGTTGTGCTTCCCCGTATTTATTTGCATCTATTCACATTTAATTAAATATTAACGAAGGAAAAACCGTTGTCGTGGTATTCCATGCCCGCACACACCGTTGCAGAACCTGCATTCCATAAAAATATTGTGGCGGAGGTGTAAAACGGCTGCATATTTGTTCACCTTTCATTTTAAAATAATTCCTCCGCGTTCGTCAATATTTAGTTGTCATTCCTCGTTATTTCCTATTTTCATTTTTTGTTGTTTCTCGCAATTTTTTGCTGTTTCTTCGTACCATCGCGCGTTTTATTTCATTTTTTCCACACCCATAGTGAATACGCCGTCAAAAAGAGAGCACCTTTTAGATCGCGAAACGATACACCATCTTTGGATGGGTAATTCCTTAACAGCGATCACCACACATAGGAATGGGCACAACTACCCCCACGAGTGTGAGGGAAAAATTAAGGAAAAAGAAAAGGTGCGAAAAAAGAAAACAAAGGAAAAGAAAGTAAAAGAAAAAGGAAAGCTAAACATCTGTACCGCCACATGTTCGAAGGATAAAAATTAAACACACGCAATTCCTTCACGTTGCACATACGCATAGCAACACATAAACACGCGCACCTTCACGTGTAGACATTTATGCCTACACATGCGTCAACTAAAAAAACAAACAAGGTGTCTAAAATGAATAAGCCACCACCATCCCTGGGAACGCGCATTTACTTTTTAACCTACCCATATTTCATCCCCTTGATGTATGAGAACAAATTGTGTAATGTGCTTTGTAGCAGAGATACACACCCATACACCCGCTGTAGGTTTGATAGCTAGACCTAATATGCACCTCCAATCGATTCATCATTTATAAGTAGATCGACTCATACGCGCGAGGAGGAGATATATGTGCCCTCGTGAAAGTTCCTTACGCCGTTGTGAAACCTCACTGAACCGGAAAAATGTCTGCGTAACTAGTGCAGCATAGTACAACACAATGGCATGTGCCCCCCCTCCACAGATGCTTTCCTTCTGCGCATATATCCATTTCGCCGTACACTTTCATCTTGCACATTTGTGTAAGACCCACTTTTTGCAGTCCTCTCCTTCGCTTCCCCCGCCCCCTGTTCTTTTTTTTTTTAAATAAAAAATGAGAAAAGGGAAACCAAGGCATGTACCAATATTTCTACGAGGGGAAAATAAAAATATATTTTTTACATTTTTTTCATATTTTATGTCAAGAAATGAGTTAGATATCATCTTTGAGCATTACGATATCGGATTAATTGTTCTCACGAAAATTCACAACATAAGAAAAAAATATGAAGATGAAAAAAATAGCATGAAGAATGATGACAATAACCTGGACAAAGAAGATGCGGAGTCGTTTGAACAAGAAGTCAGATCCTTCTTCCTGAACTATAAGATGGACCCTCCACATGGCCAAAATGATGACACAGAGAATGGGAACAATAATGGCCATAAGAACGATGGAAAGAATGTCATAAATGATCAAATGGATAGAGACAACTCGAACAATTCAGGCGTTAGGAAGAGTAATTCCTTTCCATCCACTGCAAAGACAGAGGGGAAAAAACGAGAAGGCGATACTAAGGAGCTTCACAGTGTATCGGAAACAGCGCCTCAAAAAGTTGACCACAGGGATAACAACAGTTTTGTGCAGAGTGCCAAACAGAATACCGCCCAAGATGCAGGTATTAATCGAACTCCACATACCAATGCCCATCAAACAACTTGCAACGAAGTTACCAACAAAAGTATGTTAAAATCAGAAGGAACAACTTACAATCATGAAATGTGCCGAAGAAACATAAAATTAGAGGTGGAACAAAGCCATGGTGAAAATGAGTCGAGAGTAAGAGAGCACCCGGAACAGGTAAATAACACCAGAACTAACGGTCACAACACATTGAGCTCAAATGAGAATCCTTCCCTTAAGCTAAAATATTTAAATCGTGCTAGCCATAACCTGATAGAAACAAAAAAAAGAAATGAACAGGAAATAGGAAAGATTATCAAAATAGAGACAAATGGTGAAGAGAAAGATAAAGGCCAAATGAGGACGGGTCAAATGTGTCAGAATATGCATGCGCAGAAGCACCCACAGAGGGAGAAACAAGGAGGAGGATCTAAAAATGGAGAGGGCAGAAAGGAAATCAGAGGGGGGGAACAACGCGTGGCGGTAGAAGTGAAAAAGGAAATTGTGCGAAATGAAGCAGACCAGGGTGGAAGTAGCAAAGATGGTGAAAACCCAAATGGTGAACACACATATGGTGAACACACAAATGGTGAACACACAAACGGGGAAAACCCACACGGGGAGCACCCAAACAACGCAAGCAATCATTACAGGGGTGAGAAGATAGAACCCAGGAGAGAGCCCCATGACACCATTTTCCCCGAACGAAAGAAAAACGAAATTTACAAAAAATTCAGCAAAAGAATCAAGAGAAAAAAAATTAACCAGTTTGTAGATCACCCAGACGAGCACTGCTTTTACATCACGGATCTGTGCAAAAAGGGAACCATGCTATCGCTCAAGAAGAACGAATTTACCAACCAGCATAGAGATAAATATAAATTTCCCTTTTACCCGAATTTTACAAACCCTCTAGGCACCAACCAATACCTCCCATTCATTGGAGAAGTACAGCCTTTAAACAATACTCTCATGAAACTCAAATTATTTAAGCAGCTAAATGAAAAAACCCTCACCCCAGGCACCCTTAATCAATTAGGTCACCCGCAGAATAGTAAAAAAAAAAGATCATCTAATTCATGTGCCTCATTTGACGAATACGACATTTTACAAAGCTGCTACCAAGTAGATAAAAATGACATGTCTAACCACATCTACACCCTCGATAACGTCGAAAGTGTAGTTTATAATACCTGTGACTCTTCATCCTTCATCAATTTACAAAATATTGCTTGCGACGTGAAAGAAGTGGACGTCCCAGCTGGCGGAAGAAATGCAAGCAGCCAAAGCGAGACACGTGCCCTCAGCTTTAGCAGCATGAAGGGGGATTACGAGAAGGGAATTGTTGAAAATAAGGACGAAAAACACAGAGGGGACGCCTCCGCCAAGGGATGCTATGACAAGCGTGCTGCAACAAATAATAGAACTGATGAGGGTGATGCAACCAATGGAAGAGGTGACCATCGCATCACCGCCCAAAGCAGAAGTGATCCATGTAAAAGATTAAAAAACGATCAGCACGATTTCCAGAAGAAAAACCCACTGCATTGGTGGGGCAATCTCGCAACAGGGAAACCCACTTATAGGGAGAAACAAAGAGAAGCAACAGAACAGATCAGCCCAATAAGCCATTTTACCCACCTCGTAAAACGCGAACCGACACTCCTCACGACCGATCATCACCACAAACTGTACAACAAAGGAAATTATATTTTATGCTCAATTGATCCCAATGCTGTGGCAACCCCTGACCACAAGAATGAACACTTTCTCAATATAACCACCCACTTGGAAGACAACATGGCGGGCAATAGCAGCTATCCAAATAGTACATACCCACAAAATCCACAGTGCTCAGCGTACCCACAATGCTCAACGTACCCACAGTGCTCAGCATACCCAGAATACTCAGCATTCCCAGCATACTCAGCATTCCCAGCATACTCAGCATTCCCAGCATACTCAGCATACCCATCGTACTCATCACTCCCTTTCAATTCAATTTTGCAAGGAAGTCACACGATAAGCAGCCACCTTAGCAGCAATAACGTGGAGAATTATTTCACCAGCCCGGATGGCACAAATTATAGGATTATAAATATGAGTTTCAACCCCAATAGCAGCATCCCAGCAAATGTGTACAACAGCCCTGTGGTGAACCCCCCCCATAAGGGTATGTACCCCATGAGTAGTAACAATTATATCCTTAACAGAAACAGAATAGGCATATTCTCTGATGAGAACACTCTCACGGATAATCCCCTTCCAAACTGCAATTTAAATGTTAGCTGCTTCAAAAATGACTTATTTCATGCAAGAAAAAGTTCTTCTCATAATAATTATTACCACCATTTAAATCCATATTCCATTTTCAAGAATAGTAATGATCCAGGTATAACCATCCCCAATTATTACAGCAATGGTTACACCAGAATGAACAACCGAAGCAGTAGTTACACTAACGGAAGAATACCCAACATGGCTCTTTTCTTCGCAGATAGGCAATACATAGATACGTTTGCAGAAAATTACACGAAACGAAGTTTCCTTGATAGGAATCCTTCCAACCAAGACCCTTCATCGCAGATGTGTAACCACAACTTCGCTCCTTGCATGTGTAACGGAAATAAGCATCTAAACCACCAGACAAGCGGCAGAAATAGTCTGTTCGATACCAATCAGTACACTGCCAATCACATTGGAAGCACTTCGCATAGGGACAAAAAGAGAGGCAACACTCACAATCTATCAGTAACAAACCGTAATCAACTATTCAACGTATCATACAAGGATAATATTAATCCATTTGGCACATCAATACCTGGGAAGTGTTTCCGCAACACCAGTGCAATCAACTTGGAGAAGCAGCCTACCCGTTCTGCGAACATTTTAATCAACGTCCAAAATGAACCTGGACAAGGAATAAAAAAAATCCAATCGCTGCTAACTGATTCGTCAAGTGGCCAGATGTGCTCATTTAAAGATGGATTGTCGACGGTGAATAGACCGGCAAGCCTCCATGACGTTGCCGTGCATTATCTTAGCCATGAATTACCCATTATAATTGAGAGCTGCGATGCAGTCCACGATGCTGGCAACGATACAGGAGGAAAGCCCGGCAAAACTGTTAAACAAAAAATAGGAGTCAAACACACAGACGCAGTCCAGGGCGGAGAAAAATGGAGCCCAGATCACCACGTTGAAGGTAAGCATATAATCAGGCAAGGAAGAAGCCCCAGTAATAACGGAGAAGCAACGCAGGTAAACCCCAACAGCCACCCGTCTCTCACAGAAATAAATTATACAGATATCCGCAATCCCAATAGCGAGGAAGCGCATCAAAACGCAGGCCCAAATTATGCATTGACAAAGAAGTTGCACAGGGGAGAAAACAAGGAGTCAGGAAATGCAGGGGATCTAATCTGTGCAGAGGAAGTCCGAACAGATTTTTCCCACAACAATAAAACAATGAGAAGGTATAGCAACAGACCAAACTTGGAAAAGCATGAGAAGGAGTATTTCCACTGGATGCGCATGGGCGAAGTGAGTAAACAGAGAGCCGAATTAGGGGGCGCCCCCAACCACGTCTTTAACCCTGACGTTGATCAGGAGCAGCAACAGAAGCATCGGTACCACCACCAATCGCAACAGCTGGATCTTCCCCAGGCAGAGGATCCCCACTTTTGCGCGAACGCGCAACACGAACATCTCAATGAGAAGGGCAATATCTTCCCGTCCGCTTCCAACCAGCGGTACAGCCCCAAGTTGGAAGTCCCCATTATCCCCCTCTACACGTATGAGCAAGACGACGCAGGGAATGAAAAGAAAACCAACAGCAGCAACAGCGAAGTAATTATGTGCCCGCCTACGTACCATGTGAATTACTTCCCCCATCCGATAAAAAGCGAACCCCTTTTTGATTTCCAAAATGGGTATAATCAAGTGAGAGAAAAAAATAAGAATGCGCTAAATTACCATGTTGAGAAAGATAATTACACACCTGACCTTAACAACACGGACCAGGTTCTCCTTGAAAGCACCACAGAAAGTATAATTCCCTACATGAATGAGCCCTCACCATCGCTACAATTACACAAAAAGGACGAACTGAGTGACCCCCTTTTCTTCAACACCAATGAGCAAAGAAGGGACACCAACAATGCCATAAACCATGTAAACTATTTCCCATTGCAAAATGGATACTACAATAAGGAAGACAAATACAGTAGAATTAAAGACATCAACAGAATGCTCGTTCAAAATAGTGAAAGTTACGTTTTAACAAAGCAGGAAATTTATAGGAATGCCACTCATAACAATGTACACTTGCAATCACATGGTATGAATAACTTTACACTTTCGATGAAGAATGATGAACTGGTGGACTGTACGATGGACGGAAATGTGAATGTGGACATCATAAGGGACGCCCTGAACAACAGTGGCGGTAATACCCTCAACGCGGACCTCCGCAAAAGCATGGCCAGCAATGCGATTAACAGAATGGAGGCGATTAGCGCTGTAAACACGATCAACACCATTAACACCATTAACACCGTCAATACGGTCAAAACTGTAAACAACATGAACATCTACACCAACAGCGTTGTAGACGAAAAGATAAAGCGAAGTGAATTCCCAGCTGAAAACATCGACTACCCACAGGGCGACGTAATTGTGAACAACTACCTGGTGGATTCCCACTTGAACACGCCACAACAGTTGCACTATTACGAAGAGGATCATATGACCCCCACGAACTTTCCACACCTGAATGATCATTATACGAAAAATAAATTTCTATGTTTGGAGAATAAAGATTATGCTGAACCTATCAACATGGCACCAGTGCAGCTTACTCAACAGGATAATTACGACAATACAATTAACACCAATGTAGAAGAGCTAAGCATTTTCTATCCCTATCACGTGATGGGTAGGCAAAACGATGACCATCATAGTTATATGCCCTACGATTCTAACAACAACAATGAACAGCTGAATCCAAATTCCTCCTCTTATGGCGGCAATGCAGACAATATGAACCCATTTAACGATGATGAGCTAAATGTTTCATACAACAACTGTTACTTAACCGGGTACAACATGGATAATTATTACGACGACCCAAATGAACGCAACGTGTATGAACAGGGCCTACTTAACCAATTTAAAAGTATCCATGGGGAAAACCCCTTCCAGTTTTACAACCCATTAAGTGCGTATGCAGAAGGGAGCGTCGACAAAGACGGGTTCTCCTGCAGACACGTGAAGGAGAGCGCGAACATGAATGCGCACAGCATTGAGCACATCAGTGAGCACAACAATGATCACACCCGTGAGCACAGCATTGAGCACACCAATACACACACGAGCATGATAGTGCACAGCGTAATCGCGCCGCGAGTGGGGGAACCCCCCGACCACTCTAACAACAGGCTGGATACCTTCGACCAGCACGCTGAAGCGAAAACTGATGGAGAAAATAACAACGCTAGTGCAGGAAGCGGTATCCGAAATGGAAACAATATCACCAATAGCAACGATAATGAAGACGGCACGATAATCCACACACCCACCTTTTACAATCACGCGACGAACAGCCTATATAGGAAAGCCAATCTGGAAAACAAAAAGAACATGAGCGAAAACAACCCAGACTATTCTCGAACGCCAAGAAGCGACAGCTTTAACAATATAAATGAAAAATATCAGCCATCACAGCTAGACAGAGGTAACAACCTATACGCCAGTACCCAAAGCAACATTACTAAAAACAATTCTCTATGCGACTTCTTTCAGAGAGGAAATAATGATAATTACGAAATGATTGCCAATCTAACACCTAGAGAGTCACCCAACTCTTACATTAATGCTACCAATAACAAAACACCTATGACCAGCTTCAATTCGAATGTCACCGCTGAAGTGAGGGATTTTAACAACAGCGCAGATGTGTCCAATGTCCACACAACAGAAGACATAACAAATATTTTTACCAACAGCGTAGAACAGGACAAATGGGACCACTTCTTAGATCACACGAATACTATCTACCATGATCCCACCGTGTACAATTTTCATGACTATTGTAGTGGCCAAAACAGTGTGGAAATTAGAAGCCATATGCAGAATCTACTACCTTATAACAATTTGGTTAGCTCAAATGACATTCTCCCAAGCAATCTCAATGGCTCTGTAAGAAAATACACTAACGGGATGACCGACCAAAGCAACAGCAACAGTTGTTACACAGATACTGTGACTAACTACAACCAGTGGAATACTTGTAAGAGCATACCAGTAACCAATTTGAGCTTAACGAAAATGCAAAATGGAAGTATAGGAAAAGACAGCTTCCCCAGTGATGTCCTCCCTTTTAGTTACCGTAGACATGCCCATACGAGTGATAATAACAGGACGGATAAACGGTTTAACCAGTTGTGCGGCGACCCAACGAGTGAAGATAGATTTGCCATTGTAAAACAGGAAAAGGAGTTTCCCACGGATAGAGGTAGAAATTCAGATGAACAAAATGACGCACAGGTGTGTGGCCCTCATAACGGCGGAGGCACGTACGGTCCAGAAAATATTCCCCTCCAACAGATCATAGGCTATTTCAACCCATATAATAACAGCTACAACGTTATGCATCCCGTAAATTATCGCCATAATTTCTTCAATGGAGAAAATTTCCATCCAGATATTGCTCCCCACAATTTTAACCAAATGAACGACCATGACGAAAACAGCGCCCTGGGTTCTAAGAGCCCATTTCTGTGCATAAACAAAGAACCCACATCTGGACAAGCAAACAGTGCCATTACGTACGACATGACTAACGAAATGAACCCACTCGTAAGCACTTCACAGGAGAGCGATTACAACACCAACTGCTATAATCTACATAATGGGGTGGAAGTAAAGAAGGAAATATTCTCAAACGATTTAAAAGACACCACACCTTTTGATAGCTATCAAAATGGGTACCATCTAACATTTGAAGGAAATGCGGATAAACGAAACGCACCACTCAATCACAGCCATCACGCATATTCTCCTAATCTCCGTATGAACAACTCGTGTCAGAACGCGTACGATGCCACATCAAATGAGCTCCTAAATTACAAACATCAACCGTGTAATAATACAAACGACTTAAATGCAGTGGGAAACAATTTGATGAATGTCATTGGATTAAACAAGATGTGCAAACTCAGAGACAATCTATACGGCATGCCACATTTGAGAGAGGAGAAACGGAAAAATAGAACACGATCAAGTTATCCAGTCAACGGAGGGAGCAATAACACAGAAGAGAATAACCCAATTACCGCAACATATATGAACAATCCAAACAAATTGATCACTCCGAAGGAGGAGAGGACGGAAAATATAAATTTCTTGGTTCCCTGCACAAGTAGGAGTAAGAACCGAAGCAGCACAGACAAGTTAAGCTCCTTTTTTGGTAACACGGTTGTCAGTAGAAACTGCCTGAATAATAAGAACTGCTCCTTGCAGAAGCATAGTGCCTTGTGCAACACTTTACGAAATGGAAGCAGTCTTGTCAGTAGAGAAATTGTCGACCACGATCCGGTGAGCTGGAATTTCCTGAGGAATAATAATTATAATACCTACATGTATCTGTTTTATTTATATAAACAAATTCAGAACAGCAATCACATCAACAATAAAAATGTAGCAGATGGCACAAATGATTGCAGTGGAAGCGTGTATGTCCGAAAAAACTTAATGGATCTGGATAAACTGCACATCCCCTTGTGCAATAGTAGCATCCCCGATGACACGGACGAGGGACGCGAAAAGTACGCTAATGAGGAACCCCTAAGCAGCCAGAAAAAACGAACCCAACAAAGCAGTGAGACACACCCCGAAGATGCATTCCAAAATGTGCCCCCACAAAAAACAAACCAGGACAGCAAAAACCATTACATAGAAACACAAAAATCAGTTAACAACAAACCTTTCGATGTAGACTCAGGTAAAAATGTGACCAACGAAATAAGGAGCTACCTCCAAAATTATCAGAACCAACTAAACTGCATTAACAACGTTAAAGATACCTTAACCAATTGTAATGTAAATAACGTATGTGTCCTCAATAAAAATTATCCACCAAATTACCCTTCACATTTATTAAACTGCAACACGATGGGTAGTAACCCGCTAAGTAGCAACCCGCTTTGCCGAAATGTATTAAACACTGTCCACCCGTCACAGCATGGTAATTATAGTACACACTATTTGGATGAAAAGAATAAGCTGTTATTAAATGAGGATGGTAAAAACCACCTAAGCAGTAACATTAACCTAGCCTCGAACCAATTGAAGAACACCCTCCACAATGACGGTAGAACCCCAAATACTGCCAGACGCCTCGACATTCCTCTGATGAATTATTACAATTTTCAGTTGTTACTCAACTACCTTAGGGAAAAACAGATCTACAATTCGATGAACCAAAACGCTGCACAGGCTGGCACTGATCTGAGAGGCAAGAGCCATCGCGGCGATGTGACTGCCAAAACGAACGGGATCGACAACAGCAACCGAAACGACTACGACAGTAAGAACAGCGGTGATGGCAAAAGCACCCCCAAGGACGGTGCGAAGAATGCCGGGAAAACAAATGCCAAAGGGGGGAACGCCAAAACTTCGAGGAAGCACAGCTATTCTATATCCTCCGTGGGGTTCAGCAACAGAAGCAAGAGGTAAGTCCAGGGCGCCCCGTCCCTGCCAACCCATATGTGTACGTGTATGTATATCTATATCCATATATGTGTATGTTAATCCACATGCCAAGCGCCATCACAGCGTGCTAATCCTTTTATGGGGAAATCCTCCCTAACACATAACCTTCACCCCGCGCAGATGGACCATTTGCCCCTCTTACGTCTGCTGCAACAGCGCCCTCTGCAGATTCAAACTCACGTGCAATTTCAAGTTCTTGCAATTCAACGAGGATTATAATACGTTTAACACCCCATGCGCTATATACGACTGCTACAGAAATATTATGAACAAACATAATTACTTTACCTCCACGTTGTGCCCACAACAAACTTACCTATCCAAACACTCAGTACAGGTACCCACTGATATATTTTCCACGTACTTACCTAGAAAAGTACTCACAATAGTGCACACATACATATGTGCATTTTTATATACTTACATATCCATGCTTATTTCCCCGCCGCAGCAACACGAAACGATTTTCAACGTGTACTGGCACCTGCTAAACAAGGAAAAGTATCAGTACATACAAAATATTATCCTGTTCCTGGACAGCAGTTTGTACACGAGAGCCGTGTGGTTACTAAAAAGGGGTTACAGCATGGACGACTTGCAAGTCCAGAAGGCGGAAAGAAAATTGATAAAGTTAATGCTGCTAGTTTTCAAATTTACCCATGAATACAAAGATGACCCTGGTAAATACGAGCATATCAAATCCTTCCTCTATTCCCTGAAGGGCAGCCACATCAATTTTGAACTCATGAATCGCTTCCTCTTCTATTGAGCGCGCCTTCGGATATCCGCCCCCACGCATGCACACGCATAGATGTATGTCCCTGCCTATGTCTACGTCTATCTATCCATGTGTGTATATAGATACCTATCTGTGTGTATGCCTATTTGTGTGCGCGCCCCTTTTTTACAAATTCGTACACTACGCATGTGCGTCTCCCCAATATCAACCACCCCCGCTCAAAATATATGTACATATCCTCACGTATGTGCAGATGTACCAACACCTATCCCATGCTACACTGTATGTGTTTTTGTGAGAAGAGCACTATGCAAAAGCGTACAGCCCCTCCTGACGCTAGTATTTTTTTCCTGCAAAACCACCGCAAAATTACGTCTGGTAATGCTAAAAAACATAATTAGACCTTTAAAATTTAGTAGACACTTCAATTACAGATTAGGAGACCCCAATTTTACTCATTCGGCTCTTTTCAAAGGGGCCACATTCTTTCTGCTGATGATTAACACGCGGAAGAGGCCCATAGAAAAAGGGAAACAATTCGATGAAGTAACCATTTTGACCTTTCTTTTAACCATAATTTTTTCTTTTCCCATAAACGGCCTCTTTTCTTGGGGCCATGTCACTTAAGTTAAGCATTGATGGGTGTACAACCCACAACGGACAAAGTCAACCACGAAAGAATTAAAACGATGCTGCTTAAAGGTTGAAAGAAATACACAAAAAAATTGAGCAGCTTTCAATGCCGCTGCAAATGCCGATATTGCTATCTCCACCTCCCCATTGCAGTGATGCTTAAACGAGCGCCTTCAATTTCACTTGATCAACAGAAAGGTGGCAACAAAAAACTGCAGCAAGCAAATGGGAAAGAAGCAAATCAGCAGCCTGTTCTTCTTTATAAACTTCGCCAGAATGAGGATGCAATCTGATAAAAAAAAAAAAAAAAAAAAAAAAAAAAACTTAAGTATAATTGTGCACATATTTACATATGTACAAAATAAAAAAACGCACTTTACAATTCCGACTCGAATCCAGTGCTGCAATCTACTCAATTCATGGAACTGCCGCATTGCTTCCCCAGTTCAACACTCATGCGCAATGCTTACTGTACGTGGACCAGACGATCGACCAAAGGGAAAATAAAAGCCGCAGCATCCGACAAGGCACGAGCAAATTCACGACGGAGGAAAACACCAGCGGAAATTGGGCATAGCTAATGATGCACAGAAGCTGAAAAAAGTGTCTAAATTCGCGATGAAACGGGAGAAATACGAATGTGTCCACCCGTAATGATAAATGTAAGCACGTGCCCCAGCGGAATGTGTTCTTTTAAACATTCCCCCCACAGTGGGCACAGTTGAGGCAACTATTCCGAATGGTGAGAAAAGACTACGCTCCCCTTACGTATTTGTTTGCAGCAGGGATAAATTGAGGGAAACCAGAATATGTCCAACGATGAAGGAAACAAAAAAATATGCAAAGGTGTTCTTCTTGTCAGAGACTTCCTTATCTAAAAATATGATTCTTCGGTGGAGAAAAACAGGGGGTGGCAGAGTGAATGCCTGTACACACCTTCACATGTACGCACATATGTTCATATGCACGTGGTCCTGAAAAGACCCAAATGGGCCGCCTCGTAACTTAGGACATTGTCCATAATGATGGGACACCCCCCTCCGCCACAATCAGTAAAAATTACATGGACAGTGTTATGTAGACAATAAAAGATCCCCATAAATCCCCTAAATGAAAGGAGTAAAAAAAAAAAAAATAAATAAAAATCATAAAATTACACACGATGATGCTGAAAATTCATATGAATGGAAATAAAAAAAAAAATGCACATATGTACTTCTCTCCAATTCCTTTCTCTCACAGATATTCCAAATAAGAATTACATTTCTTTACGGTGTTATCGTCATCGTACTGATGAAAGCAGATGTGCAATATCTTCTTGTAGATACTTTTCGCGTCTCGTATCTGCGTTTTGATTGCAACGGTGAAGCGGGAAAAAGGAACCAAAAAAAAAGAAGAATTTACACAAATATACATATATTAGCAACGCGGCAGGACGCCAGATGGCTCGCTGCTACAAAATCAAGATGCGAAGTTATATCGCCCTTCTGGGAAACTGCGGCGATTTTCCCCTTATCGCTTCTTCGCATACATACACATGTATATATGCCAATATATGCACACTGCGCGACTAATATGTTGGCAACGAATTGGAGAGCTTGCCATTTTTTATTTTTCAAACCACTGTGTCCTTAACAGGCTCATCCATGGTGAACTCATAATTCGTAAAATGTGGAACTATAAAAAAAAAAAAAAAAAAAATGAACGTGTTACCACGGAGATATGTCAGCTGCGAAAACTATATCGAACGGGAAGAGCTTCTCAGGACGACCTGATGGTTACCTGTTATCACCATGATGCACACCTTTCTTGTTATGTTCCCTTGTCAGATTCTCTTGCGAGTTGCACGTGTCTGTGTCTATTATTTTCTCTCAGCATAGAGCGTGTCCTGCTGGAGCGCACTCTCCTTTATGTGTTGGATAGTATTATATGGATACACATTAGCATACACATGCGTACGTGGTTCTCTCTTCTTTTTTTAAAATGTTCAGCGCGCACAGCAAGTGAGTTCCCTCTGGGTTAAACCAACTGCACTGGCACTGTTTCGCTGCTTCTTTTTACACTTCAACTGTGCATTCCTTTTCATCATTTTTTTCCTTTTTTTAGAGGCTTCATCCCTCTTTGCATGTTTCCTCGTTTTGTAATTTTAAGTAAACACTTTTTTGTGCTATCTCACGCATGGTTACTTAAAATTAACACTTATTTAGCTCTCTCTGTTTCACCAGCTTATTTTTTTTTTTTCTTAACTTGTTCGCTCTGGCAGTTTAATCTTGCCTTGTTTCGTTTAATTTTTTTCTATTGCATGAGTTATAACATGCCATTCTTGTCATTTTTAATTTCGCCTATGAGTTAGCACTTCATTTTTCTTCAAGAGCGCGAGTGACGCGTATACAGATGTATAGGTACATATATGTATGCCTTATCCACACGGATATCTTCCCCTTTTTTTTTCTTTTTTTTAATTGGTTCAAGCCTCTAACACGAACGGTAACTACTGGAAAAAAGCGTTAAGGGGGAATTCCCATTTCTGCTTTCAGGAAATGCCCAGAACTTTAAGACGTTTCCTTTTTTTTCCGTTCAAATCTTTTTAATGGAAAGAAGTAATTTTTTTTCTTTTTTTGCCCAATTAACATAAGTGCATTTAAAAAGGAAAAAATCATATGAAGATTGCACCCATGAAGATATATGCTACCTAAGCAGGAAGGAAATTCCCTACCTATTGACAACGCATATATCACCATGTTGCATCTCAAATGGCGGTTAAACGGCCTATGTGACAAGGGAGTGCCCCTTGTGTCTGCGGAAGGGCCGGAACCACCCGCAAGTCCATACAAAAGTGTATACACATACACCTGTGCAAATGCCCGCAAGCCATTTTCTCTGCCTTATAAAACATCCTAACATAAAAAAAAAAAAAAGGGAATGCAAATAAACAGGGGCACTGCTTTCCCATAAATGATAAGTTGACTGAAAGAGGAAGCCGGATACCTTAAGGAAACCAATTGAAAGGCGATTCAACTAGGTGTAATGAAATTGCAAAATTTTAAATCCCTAAAGGTTCCACCTTTTAACACTTCCCACACATCTACATTTCCATGCCGCCACCCCGCATTATCATAACCAGCTCATTGGGTGATGAAAAAATTGCAGCAGAATTACTAATGTTTTATCGAACCCCTAAAAGAAAATAAAGCAATGCTATTTCAGCCAAACTGTTTTGCGTAACTGTAGGGAAAAAAAAAAAAAAGTTAGTCCTTTCACCTAACGGTGCACTAGCAAAAACGGAGGTGGTGAAAAAAGGATCATAAGGAACACGGTTGATCCGCTGGAAAGGTATTTTGTCAGAGGGTAGACTGGAAAAAATAGCGCACAAATATACCTATATATATATGTGTGTACATTTACCTACAGAATTACGTACGCTTATTTGCACACCTCTGTAGAAGCATGAGCATTCCGACATGTTGGCGTGCAAGCAGGTGAGCACAGCCCCGCAGGCATACTTCTACCCAGGAAGAAACGAGTAAAATGCACATCCACCTTCTATTTTCCAAAAAGGCGCTGCACTAGGATGATCCCTTTGTGGGGAGAACGTACCTAACCACACATTCAGCATTTAGAGCATTGCTGTTTTTTCCACTTTTATGGGTGTATGTACACCTAGCTCGCGTGTGCGGCTGACAATCGAGCGAACACAGCAGGGTGTTCTAAAAATGTGCGAAGGCAACTGATTATTTTTCTAAATCGTGCAATGGGATGCTGCAAAGCGGTAGGATACGTTATACTGCGTTATGTTGTGTTAAGTTATGCGATGTTATGTTATTCCATGCTATGTTATGCCATGTTATGTTATTCTTTTTTTTTAGAATGTTCATATTTTTTTCAAGTTTTCCATTCATTTTGAATGACAGATGACCGTACTAATTCCTCTACCTTCCCCTCTCTCTTTTTTTTTTTTCTTCTTTTTCCCTCGAGTAATGAACTGTCAACGTAGTGTAGCTACAATGTTGACGAGCATTTAAGCATATGTACACATGTGTGCACATATTAGCCCTTTTTTGTATTTCCCCTTCATAATTCTTTGTAGAATTATAAATCAAATAAGGGTACTACAACATCAGTGATTAGAACCCGTTTCTGTGTATTTGTTCTGTCTCTATGTAGAACAGCAACATATACATGTCTAGGCGTAAAACGTATATTTTTCCGATTTCCATATTTCGGTTTCCCTTAAGGGTTTTCCTCACGGTTCATGTGTAACCAAGCTGCAGCGTCCTGCCTGACGGCAACTGCTATTCGCTCCTCTGCACCTGTTTTTTTTTTTTTTTTTTTTCTCTCCACCTGCTACGCTTTCTTCCCCTGTTACACCTCTCTGCTTTTTCTTAAAATGAACTGTGAAGACGAGAAGGAAAAAATTAATAACTCTGTGACGGTTTACACGGGCGAAAAGAGGAGCGAAAAAAAACTTCCCTTTTTCAACGGATTTGATGACTTCAAAATCGATTATTCTTTCCACAAAAGAAAAAAGTCTTCTTCTGGTGCAATAAAAAACTCATTACACGATGGGAATGATAGCAACTGGGATGATAAAAAAGACGATCTAAAAAAGTTGATTCAAATTATAAACCATAACTACATCGATAAACATTTTTATTTTAAAAAATTAAGCATTCACGATTTGTACAAAATATTTGTCTACTCAAATTTTTTAACAAAGTCATTAATTTTATATCCTTCTTTGATTCCTCATTTTGAGGGTATTATTGAGAAAGTGAAAAAAATAAAAAAGGAAGCTACCTTTCCAGGAGTCGAGGGTGACCATTTTGTGTTTCCTCCCCTCGATTCACCCCCCAACGAGGGTCATCGGCTTGGGGCGAGCAGATTCATTCAGACTGCCGCCTTTAGCAGTGGTCCAGTTAAAAATGAAAGAAATGAGAGGGAAAATGCGTCACAAAATGGAGCGGAACAGACGGCCCAACATACGGCGCAAAATACCACACAAACCGGGGAAAAGAAAGCCTTTCTGCTGGGCATCGGAAAGGACGCCAGGTCGAGGAACAGTTTCATATCTACTGAATTAGACCAAGCAGAAAACGACATTGGGAAAGGCGCGAACACACGAGGAAGCAACACATATCGCACAAGAAATAACCATAAAGGGGCGCCTACCGATGCTGGAAACACAAACTGTGACAAAATAAACACTGGGTCATTCGCCAAGCCTGACGATACAGATAAAAAATTTCCCAATTGTAATTACAAAAGACAAGTAATAGAACAAAAGAAGAACACAGACTTCTTTCCATATGATGGACCATCCAATTATGCACCTAAAAATGTAGAGATACAAAATGTTGCTCACAACTCTAAAGTGAACGTGAAGACCCCCCGTCCTATCCATAATAGCCACACGAAGAATGCCAACTGTGAGTACGATCGAAGTAATGGAAATAATGCCATAAGTAGAGACAATCCTAGCCTGTCCATCCCATTAGTGGACAAAAATGTTCGTGTTTATAAAAACATAAATGAATATGACATAATTGAGCTCAAAATAAGCGCTTCTTTTAACAACAAATATATATGCCGCTATATAGGTAACATTTCGCTAGCTAGCAACAGGATATTTGTACCTCCTTTTTTTTTTTTTTTAAACTGACCCACAGTCGCTTGTTCCCTCTCTTGTGCTAATTCTTTTTTTTTTTTTCTCCCCTCAGGCATCCACAGCGGAATGACGTTATACAACATACACAGATGCATCTGCATATGCTTGGGAGTCAAAAAGGAAGACACGGACAACTACTTGCACGTTTTTATATTAAACAATGGAAACATTTATGGGAGCGGCAAAAAATGCAGCGTTAGCATCATCAGGAAAATACAGATAAACACGGATCGACACATTACCTTCAAGCACATAGTCAAGACCCCACTCTATCTCTACAAAGCAAAGGACGCAAGTAAAAACCACTTTTGCAACGATTTTCCCGTCAACTGCGCAAACACTCTCGATGACAAGGCCTGTGTGAATGGAGGAAGTCAGTACGGCGGAGAGAGCAATCCGAACGAGGGGATGCACAGCGAAAATGAGAGCAGTCAAAATAGTGGCGGCCCCAACGAGAACAAACCGAATGAGAAGAGTCCACATGAGAAGATCCCCCATGAGAACATCCCGTATGGGAGGAGCCCCGATGAGAGCAGCCCAAACAACAGTGACCAACGCATCGGTAACGCCAACCTGTACAACCCAGACCCCCACAGCAGAAACCTGGGTGCCAATGTCAACGTAATGGACATTTCAAACTTTGGGCAGTCCAAGAATGGCCAAACTTTTGTAGAATCAAATGCCATGCTTAATTATGACATGCTGAACAGCGTGGACACTGTAGCAGAGATGAACCATTGCAATGTAAGTATACCCACATTAGGTACCATTGGTAAGGCAAAAAAGTTTTCCAATTTAAGCAACTCGTCCAGCAGCTTTTACAGCCATTTGGATAGCAACACCCCCTACAACCTTAGCGATAATATTAGCAATAAGGGAAAGAGTATCTCCCGCGAGAGTCTGAACAGGGTGGCATGTAACAGGATCATGCGCTTTAGCCACAGTAGCGAACTAAGTGCGACAGCCGTGGGGGAATATCTGCCTAAAGACGCAGGTGCCAACATAAACAGTGGACATTCGAACGGAGGTAGCGCAAATCAAAACTGCCCCTACGACCCAAGCGAAAACAACATCAACGTTAGTAACTTCCCCATTCAGAGAAAAAATATGAAGACGAAGGAAGCTTCAAATAATTTCCACTTGAATGAAGCTCCAAATGATTGGCACTTGAACGGATCTTCAGACAATTCCCATCTGAACGAATACCACTCCGACTTGCAACTACAAAAAGATGGCCAAAAAGTAAGCGATAATAACGACTGCGATGTGAACGGTCCACCTTCCAGTGAAAACTACGCAAGAGAGGATGCCCAAGGAATAGAGGACGCTACTGCGGAAGATGACTACAAAAGGGCAAAGTGCAAAAAGGGACCATATCACGAAAATTGGAACGATCAAAATGGAAGGCATATGAACCGCAAAAACGACAATCCCTTCCTCAGTAACGAATCCACCTATGCTAACACGACCCATGCTGACGACCACCCCCTAAACAAGCCCCGCGAAGAAGCACACAAAGTATTATCTCCAAACACTGGTAGAGACACCTGTTACCTTTACATGAATAGTCAAGAAGAAAATCCGAGTTGCATGTTTAACACAATTTCGAGGGATGGCAGCCCCTACAAGCACGCCATGTCTGCCATCTCACCTACAAAAAGTGATCACCCCTTCGGCGCCAGCAATAATTACACATTCAGCGCGCAACAGAATGATGCCCACAGCTACCATCTTAATGGAATGAAAACCTCTGAACAACATGAATTCGAAAATGAACACCTGAAGTCAAATTATCTCTATTCTATAAATGTCTCCCCCCAGTTTAGCGGCCATATGAAGTTCAATCCCGCACTTAGCATGCACAATTTGGATGAAAAAAATGGGGTACAAAATGGGGTACAAGATGGGGCACAAAATGGGGCAAAAGGTGAGGCACAAACGGGGCAGATCATGGACGATAGTGACTACCCAACAATTGATAGTAATTGCCGAGATGATGGTCCCTCGAGCCGTTTTTTCTTTCCCACGAGTGCTCTTCCCGACTATCCCTACAACCTAAACGGGCTAAATACGCCAAATTGTTTCTTTTATAAACACGAAAAGCACCTCACTGTTAATAGTAACAATTCACCAACCGCCTATAGCTACAATGATCCCATGTACAATCAAGATAACCACATAGACTATCAAAATGTAATGAACAATACTTTTCTTGAGAGAGACTTCTCCCATGTTAGCAGTCCCAATTGGTGCATCCCATCTCATCACTTTCCCCAATCAAATAATGCCCCTTATACGAATGGATCCACCGCGAGCTCCTACATGGACAATTCATTTGAAGCTTCTCCTCTTGATAACACTTTCAATCCCCAGCAGGCAAACCACTACTGGGGTGATTCAAAATACCAAGCCGTCGAATCATCTAAGACCTGCAAGAATAAACACCATTTAGAAATCTCCGAACGAACGAAAAATATAGACGCTGCTGAATGTTGTGATGCCACAGCTGCACGGGATAACGCCATGATAAACATACCACAAAATGGCGATGGAAGCGTAACTAAAAATTATCCCCCCTCGGGAAATTACAATTCCACCTCTATAACACATCTAAGAACCCATTTGAACAGAAAAATGGAGAATCAAGAGAATCATCCAGAGGTCCTAAAAGAAACAACTGAAGACTTGGGGAAAGAAACACCCCAAAATTGTGTTCAACCCGACACCTTGCAACGTCACTCAAGTGGGAGCACCACTGAAGAGGGCGAACCGAAAGGAACAAAGGAAAGTGCTGCTAAAGATTGCATAAACAGGGAAGACTCACGTAGGGAAAACCCCCCTTTGGAAGATGCCAAAAGCTACAAAGGCGTACAATGTGGAAGCCTTCCTGAATGTACTAAAAACCAGAATGATGCCCCACGCAGTAAAGACCAAATGAATCACAGGGAAAACATCAGAACGAACCGCGCAGCATACCACAATGACCCAGAGGGACTAAAAGAAGGCCAACTAAAGGAGCAGATCCAGAAAATGAAGGATAGCCCCCTTGTGGAAGGAATAAAAAACAGAAATACGCAAAAAGAGAGTGAATCCTCCCAAGACATTATCAATAGCGATCGCGAAGAAGAACCAGGCGATTTTATCAACAGCAACGATACGGGTGAGAGAAAACCAAGCGCCACTCTCAGTTCTCACAGCAAAGATGACGAAAATGCTAAGAGGGGCGGAACATCCAACCCTCCAACTTGCAACGCCGTATATGAAGGAAAATTTGGAGATGCTACACCTGCCCAAGTGATCCACCAGGAAATCAGCACGAAAGGGAAATTTCCCGAAATAGAAAATTCACACATCTGCAACATTTCAAACACATACGATGATGCTAAGGATAGCACTCCCGTTAGAACAGAACAAAACGAAGATTCCAATTTTTACAACAATTTTAAGGATACAGAACGTGGAAAGAGTGGACATAAATCACACCAACAGGTTGGGTGCAACCATACAGGAAAATCTCACCCCCAGAAAAAAGATAGAAATGAACAGGATTATTCATATTTACAAAATGGAGAGTACACATCACAGGGTACCCACCTTGTCTGTGAACAAAATGGAAGCAATTTCCCTCCCATCACTTTAGTTCAAAGAGAAAATATAAAAAACGGCTCCACATATCAACACACACATGGGGGGGAAACAAACCTGCAAGGAAAAACGGAAGTCCTTCGTACATCCACTGAAAATTCAACCAGCAGGGAATTACTCCATTTTAGAAAGTTAAATGGAAAGAATGCCACAACTTGTGCAGATGGACCAATCTGTACGGATGGATCCACCTGTACAGATGTACCAAGCCGAGGAAGGAGCACAAAGGAACCCATTTTAGGTGGCGAAAAAATGGAATCAAAGGAACAACACAAAAATTCGACAATTGATAAAAAGGAGAATTACGAAAGAGATATAAAACAAGGAACTCAAATAATTCTCAGAAATGATCATTTTCACCAAGACAATGAAGGTAGCCATCCTTTTACATCTGAGCAAAGGGGAGATATTCCCCCAAACGGCCTTACCGAAACGGAGCAGCTCATTCTAGAATACCATCCCCACTTAAATGAAGAACTCAATAGTGAAGAAGATTTTCCTCCATTGAACGAGCAAAATACGTATTTGCAGCATATAAAAAAGATGGTTCTAATTACTCCACACGAAAGTAGCAGTTGTGTTACCACCAACATTCCCACTGGACCCATGCACGCAACTGAACTTAGCGAATTAGAAAGAGAAGACAAATCCAATTTATGCCTCCACCAAAATGCAAAAACGGATTGCAAACAGTGGGAACACAACTTATATAAGGAGCATTTTTACACCAATAACAAAATGAATTATCTAGAAGGAAACATCACCCCGTGTTGTAGTAGCTCTCCCATGACTGGAGGTAATGCCATCCCAAAGGACTTCACCGATAATTTTCACAAGACTGACCTTCTGGCAGACTACGACCCAAACAGCAAATGCACCAACGAGATGGTTAACAAAAATCAATATTCCCTCAACGTAGAAAATAAAAACAGTGCCTATCCTATGACGTCACTTTCTTTTAAAAAGGATCTTTCAAATACCACGTGCATGCAAGTGGAAAATGCAGAAAACGACCATGGGAACAATGACCATAATCCCTATTACATGAGTATGGTATCGATGAATAATCAAAATGTGATAGACTTCTTCAGCCAGGGAAAGCGTGACGCGAATAATGGCAGTCTGCACACAACTTCAAACACCCTTATGACCGTGGACACGGCAGTGGACACGACCGATTATATGCACAGCATCGAGCATAGCATGCAGCAGAGCAATCCGCAGGGCAGTTCAAACAACACTCAGCATAGTTTTCAGCACAGGAGTCAGCATGGCGAGCAACGGGGCAGCCAACGGGGCACCCAACGGAGAGACCAATGGAGCAAGTCCCTTAACACCAACCTAGGCGCAGAAGGAAAAACCACCTACTTCACCCATTTTAACAGCCCCGAACGGGTCAACGAAAACTATCAGCGCACTTACTATAACATTATGCCAAGTGAAAAGGCGCTACCGGAACAACCTCCATTCTACGTTGGCTCAAATTACCTGCACAAAGAAGCCCATCATAGCAAGTTCACCTCGTCCCTGGGTGAAGGTCAGAAGGAAAAAATTGTACAAAGGAACAATTTCCAGCTTGACAAAAGTAGAAGAGGGCGGAATATCAGAATGGGCCCTAACAAGCAATGCGTTAATCATGGTGACGGGGAAATAACGCACAGCAACGAAAATGTCTGCCCCGATCCTGCATCTGCTATGGCATCGTCCCATGCTTCTACCACCGGTGAAGGTGTGAATTGTTCGACTCCACCAGCCATGCATGCACCCCACACTAACTATACTAACCACACTAACTGTGAAGACGAGTTTAGCGTGCAAAGGAACCTCCAATACGATCACCGCGATCTGTGCGGCTCACAGAAACCGCGTTACCACCCACTCTACTGTCAAAGTGATAACCTCATAAACAATTACAGTGACTATTCGGGCGATGCGTCCACCTACATGATGAATAGCAACGCGAATGACTATTCCACTCCGTTCAGCGTGGGTAGCCTCAGAAATGCAGACAATAATGTCATAAAGGAGGAAACGTACTATGGTAGTGTGAACCAGGGGGGATACCTACACATGAACGAGGCAGGGAGGCACAGCACAACGGTGGGCACCTTCATGCATGTGGACGGAATGAAACAAAGAGGTTGTGCCACGACACACGAGATGGCTTCTAATGACTATGTCCAAATCATGCCTCATGAGGAGAACATCAATTCGAAGCACCTGCGAGACGATAACCTCACGATAGAGGAATGCATAAATTCTGCCTATGCGAAGGGAGGAAACGAAAGGGGCGCCCAGCAGAAGGAAAGAAGCAGCGAGCAGAAGGAAAGAAGGAACGAGCAAAGGGAAAGAAGCAGCGAACAAAGCGAAAAGGCCAGCGAACAAAGCGAAAGGGACAGCGAAAAAAGCGAAAGAACCTTCGAAGAGAACAAATCGAGCTTTTCCATGCTGTACCTCTTCGGAAAAGTAAAATTCAATATTAGCATCATAGACATCATACATGACAAAACCAATTCGCATGACCTTCTGTGGGTCCCCAGATGCTGCAATGGAAGCTACGGGACGTTCTTAAAAAATAACTACTTAAACGCCAACGAAATAGAGAAGCATGTGCCAGAAGAGCACATCGATATCGATTGCATAAACCTGAAGCTCATGGAAACAAGGTTCAGCAAAAATGTGGCTAGCTCAAGAACCACCAAAAGGAAAAGGATGATTGACATTGACAAAACGGTGCTTCACTTTTACAAAGAACACATTAGCGAATTCTTCAACAATAAAAATAAAATCATTAGACTCACCAAAAAATTGTGCAAGTATAAGAAAAAACGGAAATATAATAGCAGCGATAATGGGAAGAGTACCGCGAAGGGTGCCTCGAAGGCTACGTCCAAGGGCACGTCCAAGAGTAACGGAAAGAGGGACGAGGAAAACAACGCTCACCCCTACGAAGAGAGCAGATGTGTTAGCAGCAAGACAGCCAGTAAAACTAAATATAAGGGGAAAAGGAAAGTAAGCCGCCAGGCTTCCCTTGGCGAGGACGCCAAGGTGGATCCCAGCATGGACGGTGAAAATGGTGCAGACCGCAGCCAGGAAAACGAAGAAACATGTGATCATTTAAATGACGCAGACTGTAGCCACCAAAATGACGCCCCCAATGAGTCAGACACTTATGCGCAACGTTACGCTCCAAACTATGCCGATCACCAGGCGAAGCCCAACTATTATCACCAACGCAGGGATGACAACAGAGACTACTACCACTGCCGCACGCCAGACGAATTCAGCGCGAACCAGATGCATGCAGTAAATGCAGCCCAACAAAACTACCTCTTTAACGAACACGTGAACAGAAACGTCAACAAAATGGCAATACAAAATGACCTTCTCCAAAACGGGCAAACCTTTAACGACCCTTTTGTTAATAATATGTTGGGTGATATGTCAACCCGAAACGTAAGTAGAAATGATTTTTTCCCAAATATGATGTATCACCATTTTAGTGAACAAAGCGATGTTTTCTCGACTCACCATCAGCATAATCAACATCAGCATAATCAACATCAGCATAATCAGCATCAGATTAATCCGCATCAGCATGAGATGGGGACGTATACAAACCTTCGTGAGAAAGGCTCCCCAAATGGCACACCTCTCAGCAGTCTCCCTCCAACCACCTACTACAACCAGCCGACTAGTCAATATTTCTTTAACAACAATCCAAACACCTTTAAATCAAACTTTGCAAATAATTCGAGTAGGCGAAAAGGAAAAGATCAGACAAAATCTCAAATGAGTTCCTTCAACGCTAACAATGCAGACACGAAAAGTGCACTGAACTTATCTCAGATACTTGAAGGCAATAATAATTTTATTAACATTTCCAACACCTTTATTAACACAAATTTTGCTAAAGAGCTTCACCAGACGAACGATCTGTTGGTCAATCAGAACAACTTCGATTTGAATGTTATGTCTGGCGGGTTAAATGCGAAGCAGTTTACACAGTAGGGTGTGCGTCAGAGTGGGCGGCTGTGTTTGTTGAGGTGTCTGTAGGCTCCTATACAGATAAATAACAAGTAAACGAAACAATTTCGCATTCCTTTACACCACATAGCTCAACGGAATGAAACCACCTACGAGCTTACCTGAGAAGGGTGTTCCACTCGAACTTTCCTTGCCGATCCGCCCCTTGCACGCACCCGTCTAAGCAAAAATGATATATTCAACCTTCTCCTGGTTGGATGTTAACTCTATTCTGCTCACTCGACACCTATACATGCCTGCGTACATACGTATAGGTCCATTTAGACTGTGCAAAAACGCATCATAGGA